GATGGAGCGAGAGAGAGAGAGAGAGAGAGAGATGGAGATGGAGATGGAGATGGAGATGGAGATGGAGATGGAGATGGAGATGGAGATGGAGATGGAGATGGAGATGGAGATGGAGATGGAGATGGAGATGGAGATGGAAAGAGATGGAGATGGAAAGAGATGGAGATATAGATGGAGATGGAGATGCAGATAAAAAGAGAGAGATGGAGGGAGAGAGAGAGAGAGAGAGCGAGAGCGAGAGCGAGAGCGAGAGGGAGAGGGAGAGCGAGAGCGAGAGCGAGAGCGAGAGCGAGAGCGAGAGAGAGAGAGAGAGAGAAACCAAGAGAGCGAGAACGAGAGAGAGAACGAGAGCGAGACTTTTTGTCTGAGGCCTGATACACGCCTTCAGAGGAAGTCGCAAAACGCACATGGGCATCTGGACATGTTTTCTCGTCAAGCTGATTCAAGACCACATTGGGCAATCTGCGAGTACTCTTGGCCAAGTGGCGCGGTTCTCTGGAGTGCAGACGCGTATCTGCATCAGATTCGGGAACACACCATGGGGCCCGGGATTGAAAGATTATCATAAGTTTGTTCATTGTCTTTAGAATTCTACGTCGGAGTCTGATCTCACTGCAACGATAGGCCTTCTGGATCGAGCGTCGCACCGGATGTGCAGACTTGGCCTGCCGGCACTTGGATAGCAGGGATGTCTGCCTGACTCCAAGTCTTACATAGTCCAGGCTCGGTCTTGCCTCGCTCCATTTGGTCTGCGCATCGAGAAGCATTGCTGAAGCTTCTTGCTGCTGGGAGCGGACGGCCGCGATAACTTACATCGTGGTATCGAACAGTTGTGTTACTGCGCTGAAAGACTGAAAGATTGGCCGCTTGGACTTCATGATGCGAAAACCCTAACACAAAGGTATCTTCGTGATGGGAAGGGTTCTACTCTATCTGCTATCACTACGGGTGGGCTGAGGTGGCGGCATGCGTAGGGCTCGTCGCACTTCAGACTTGAGCCATATGGTCCAACTGGCCAGACACGCACATGATACCCTCAAAGAGGCACGATCAACCGAGAAATGGCCCCGATCCCAGTTTGAACTTGAAGCTGTGTCCCTACAGTTCAACTTGGCTCATATCTCCGGACAGGCAATTAGAATGCAACACTCTGAGATGGCTGGCTGCAATGGCAGGGCCCGGCGTAGCCAACGCCTCACCTTGGCATTTCAAGTCCCTGCGGTGACGTTGCTGCTTGCCGTAATTTAGGTCCGCTGGTCCGAGACTACGGGCTCGTGGCTTGGCCTCTGGCTGACGGATGCTTTCGGTGGAATGGACTTGTTCACAAGTCGCCTCAGCTGCCGGTTTTGTTTTGAGATCGTGCCTCAGCTTCTCCTCGGGCTCGGACCAGGAGCCACTGCCATCTGCAGCACCAGGTGCGCCGCCGTAAGTGGCACAAACAGGAGAACCTTCCTGGGCCCAGGCTCTTGATTCCATGAAGACTAAACGCGTCATCTGCGAAGCGCACAGGCCCACGTGTTGTGATGTTCCAGTCCTGAGTCAAGCACGGCATGATGCGGCAAGCTGAAGCCCTCTTCAACAGGCAACCACGAGCAAGGACGCAAGGCTTGGTGTGTCCCGCTCGGTACGAGAGGTGCACAGCTTGGCTGGCGTGCATGCAGCAAGTGAGTTTAGGTGCGTGATCGCGCGGTAGCACCTTCCGAGCTCAGCTCTGCTACTGTGCTGCAAACCGTTTTCAAACCCTAAACCCTAAACGAAGAGGAGATGCTCCACAATATTTTGTAGCAGTCAAGCTGGCGACAGACAAAGTGCTGATGGTAGCACAAGCGACGAGTCAAGCAACTGCAGGGCCCTTCGACTGCCACTGTCACACAGGGCCTGTAACTTTCATGCCATCGTTTGAGACGGGCGTATGTACAATCAGATACACTCGCAGTGCTTGAGCTTGCTCGCACATTGAAGTCTGCATGCATCTGGGTATGCAAACCGTGCTCCTCTGAGATTCCGGCCACATCGGACCACGGATCGTTCAAGGAGAGGATCTGATACGCAACGTTGCCACATCGGGCGTGTCTTCCAAATTTGTTGCAGTATCTTGGGGCCAGTGGACAGCAGCTGGGCCTGCGAAACTTCATCAAGTGTTGGATTTCTCGCAATGATCGAGAAGCCGTAGATGTTTACTCCCTTCAACCTCACAACATGCACACAAGGATATTCACAGAGGCACATTCAAAGTGCAAGTCACATCCATGGGCATATCCACGTCAAGAGGCGGTCCCTCTATGAAAATGCGAGCCACATGGTACGGACCTGCACAGCAGCGGCTGGCGAAGTGGCTCGGCACCGCGTCGCGGCGTGTTGCGTTGCAAGCTTTGGGCCTGTTTGAACGCCACTGCTCCGGTGACTTTCACAACCTCCCGAGCAGCTACGAAACCCTCACTTCACCAGCTACCAAAAGAAAACAGTGAGCTTTTGCAGGCGAACGCTCACGCTAAGCTTCGGGCGAATGATCTCGGGAAGACGATGGACTGAAGGAACCGGACCAGTCACATAGTACCTGAAAGAGCAGCCGGCCGGCAAGTCGAGTCTTCGCGAAAATTCGAAAACCAAGGGCATGGCCCGTCGGATAGATCAGAGGCTTGGCAAGCTGCGCCGAAATCGAAGACACGAGGTGCCTCTCAACTGTAGCACGAGTACACGCAGCACAGGGCGGGGGCAAGGGTGTCATAAAGACTTGGCGGCTTGAGCGGCTTCAAACCCTTTTGATTGCTCGCTGACTCCGCGGCCAAGGACGGCGAGATGCGAGATGCCTTGGGTCCCTCGGAGTGCCTGCTTCAGCGCTCGGGTCCCCTCTCTGGGTATATGTCGCGTTGATGTAGGCTGCGAATGGCTGCGCATCTGCACATTACGCTCCTGCGATCTGGTTGGTCACGGCATAGAGACTGGGGTAAAACATCCACAGGAGGAATCCCAGGCCCCACCACCAAATAGCATGGCCAACACGGGCGAAGCCCCAGAAAAACTCGTCCGAATAGTCTGCATAGCACCATGCGACGTTGTGACCAAAAGTAAAGCAGATCAAAAACCCTTGCACGATCTCTAGCATCCAGATATTTAGTGGAAAGAGCAGAATATAACAACAGGTCAAGTCCTTGAGAAAGTAACCGTACACATCCACCAAAACAGGCATGTAGATCAGATTGGCTCCGAACTGTGCGGCACTGGTGTAGGACCGACCACGCTCGAAGTGCGTGAAGCAGGATTCCATGAAACTGTACGACAGGGCCAGAAGGCTGCATCGCAGCTTCATAGCTGCGGGGTAGGCGATTAACCATAACACAAGCAGCAGGCCCACGAAGAGCTGTCTGGTCGGCTTCTGAATCGGATGGAAAGTCACGTGCAGAAGCTGCCAGGTGCCGGGAGGCCTACCGTAGACTCGATCGACATGGCGCTTGGCTTCTTGGAGCTTCAGTCCGCTCTTCTTTGGAAAGAGCCACGGTGACCGGAAGACATCGTGAACGAGCTCATCTAGTCTCATCCTCTTAGTAGGGAGTGCAGCCTTCAAAAGGGCTGCAGACACCAAAGCTCACCAGAAGTCACCCATCACATCGCACATCCAGTGGAACGATTGCTCACATCGACCTGAAATTGACGCAAAGCCCAACTACACTTAGATCCAGGTGTGCCTCCACGTCGATAGACCCCCCTGCATTGACATCTTCCACGGCTCTGAAGAACACGCTGAGCCTTGACATGTGCTTGGTGTGTTCTAAAATGTTCTAAAGCGCGGCGGCAGGGTTCCCGCTACAGCCCTCATGAGGAATGAAGCAAGCCGGCGGTGCGACTGCACGGTCGGCGCGCTTGCAATGAGGGAAACCATGGGGTCCAGTGGCTGGATCAAGGCCTGCACAGCGAGAGTGCGGAGAAAGGTCAGACTTTGGCTGGGGATCTTGTTTCCGGTGGGCTTGGGCTCAAACATTCTCGAGCCGTCCCAGCACTGGCACTCCTCCTAGGCCTGTGCGATAAAATGTCGCCTCGGTCACAAGCATGCATAGGAATATCTTGAAAGAGTAGAAGGTGTGTGAGGACGTCACGCTGAAGTTTACCACTGTGAGATTGTGGTCTCCAGGAGAATATACCTTCCGGCCACTTCGCACTGCTCCAGACCCACTCGGCAGCTGTTTACAATACCGTCTATTGTAAGCCGGCCAGAACATGCCCAACATGCTTCGCCCGCCTGCACAGACCACAAGTTCAGGGTGTTGGTGATGGGCATGCTCGTATTGCCAGGGTACACACGCAAGCCTCAGCAGTCGTAACGCCTTCGCGCGTGCACACGGGAGTGCCAACATGCTGTAGCTGCTGCTTGGCTGTAGACCGGTTGTCACTGCTGCAAGTTGCAGTCGTTCTTTGTCTGTGAATCTCTGTGAGCTGCAACACTTGTTGAGCAGCAGTCGAGCGATGCACTTGCAACCCAGCTGAACCCTGGCCAAGCATCACATGTAAGGTCTGCACCCATCACGAGCGACGACATTGCAGGAATGAGCGAGCGATCCTGAGCGACATCGGTCACATTCTGTTCGACATCAAACGGAGTTGTGAGGCGGATGATGGAAGACAGAAATCCATCATCCTGCCAGCTGAGGTGGCAGAGAAAAACAGGGGATTGCAGGAATCTGTGGCAAGACCTGGTCCCCACTTCAAACGCTGAAAGAACATGAGAAGGGACGGGAGCTACATGAACCGACATGGCACTCAAGAGCCTGTGCTCAGCTGGGGCTCCCTGCAAGGAGGGCGTACGTGGCCTCCTCGCCAAGCATCGACCAACCCCCAAGGTCGGGCCTCGAGTCTGAGTCTGCGCTCGTACTTGTCGCTTCCTGCTTCCACCGTGAGGCCGAGGGCAGTACGTTCCAAAGCCGGTTGGAGCAGGTTGTGCCATGGTGTTGTTCAGGCGCGATGCCTCAGCACAGGACGACAGCCTGAGCCCCAGACACTACATAAACTCGACACATCTGCAGCTCTGGTGCCGCATCACCATCTGGCGTCAAAGTCACCATGCCAAGGTCACCCCCTGTGCATGGAAGAGTCTGCGATGACTCAGCCACATCTCTCAAGCACTGGCAGTACGCCTGTGTGGTTCACCTCGACGGCCTGTAGCATCCGGAAGCCCTGGCACTGCAGGCATTGGCTGTGGGTGTCTTGTCGTCGCAGCGTTGACGAATCGCCTTCTGTGAAGTTAGGGGGTGTGGACCCGTGTCTAAGCCCCAAACTGGCGGGGCCCTGATCACGAAGTAGGAGCCAGGACGGGCATTCGGCGCAGGCCTGAGTTGCTTTCGACTGGCATGTGAACCCGTGCATGTCTTTCTGCAGCGCAACACGCACACGCTTTGTTCAACAAGTTCATGCAACGATCACTGGAGTGATGGCTTGAGCTGTCTACCGCGTCCTGTCCTGTCCGCGCAGCGGCACAGCCATCTGAAGCATCACCTGCAATGCGTACTCCACTCTCGGTCTCGGACAAACACAGACTGATGACTAGCACTCTCACGTAGTCAGGCCCGAGCATAGAGAACGTGACTTTGCACTCCTTCGAATGGCTCGAGGCCCATCTGGCAGGAGACATGTGGGCAGCAACTCGTTGTGCATGAAAAGGACACGACATGGACCTGAGGTGCACTGAGAACACGCCCAATCGTCGCGAAGTTACGAGTTGGCCTGGGCACTAAAGGATGCTTAGAGACTAGTTGTGCCAATGTCGCAGTACCGGCTGTCTTCGTTGACAGCAACATCTATCCCCATCATCATCAAGGCAGCAGCAGTACTGACCATATGCAAAGCACAACCAGACAGAGAAACAAATACCGATATTGCAGAAGCATGTTCAACCCGAAAGAGCATTACCAGCTCTGAAAATACGTACTATGGTAGCAGGGGTGTCTGCTGCGGCTGCGACCATGATTCACTGCTTACCACTGGGCTCACTAGACTGCACTTGTTTTTATGCCTGAGGCCACGGCGCGTTGTAAAAGCGACCGGTGGCCACCCTGCGGCTGCGCACTTAATCGCATGTGTCAGAGTGCACGTGCAGTGAGGCAGCCTTGCCTGAAGTGGGGCTTGGTCCCATCTTCCTTCATCACTTGCACCATGAGACGGTGGGGGAGAGCCTCAGGCAAGAAGCGGGATCCATCCAGCTATCTTGAATAAGCCTCAAGGAACGGACACCAGAAGATGGCAGTCTCAGGCTGTAGACATCCAGCTCGTAGATCTGGCCCAGTGCCAGGTAGCTTCTTCTGGTTTGTCTCCAGACACACACACACACACCCAGCGAGGCACCAGCGATCCGAAGAGGTCGTTCATGTTCGGTGGCATCTGTATGCGAATCATCGGCACCTGTGCGAAAGGGGAGCACCGCCCACGGAAGGACGAGCCCTGGATTTGATTCGATACAGGGTCAACATGTGTAAGCCACGGAAGCCCTGCCTGTGCTGCAAAGGGCACAACCTGTCATGAAACTGGACCGGAATGCTCACCGCACATGCACGAACTTCCGCTGTCTCCGGCACATCCTGACTCTGAACAAAAACCGGGCAACAAGGTGCCTTGATCCCAGCGCAGGTGACCACTTCACCACACCGGCGAAAGCTGCCGACAATCTGGCGACGGTGTTGCAGCTTGTCGGCACCGTCAACTCCGCGATTAACAAGCGGTTACACTCTTCTCAGAGTCATCTCGTCTGGTGCAACTTTTAGGAGTCTAAGATCACATTCGTGCTGCTGGCAGGGCCCATCTACAACAAACGAAATGCAAGCCGCGGCCGTTGCTCACCAGTCATACACGAAGATGACACTTGCATGAGCAGCACTTACATGTGCAAGAAAGCCAGGAAGACGACGAAACAATGGATGCGGATGCTGCCAGTCTCGACCCTGCGCCACTCATCCGTTTGAAGGTAGCTTGCAGCTAGGGGCATGCGCAACCTGACCTCTAGCCACGATTGCTTTTGCAAGCATCTTGGAGAGAGGTAGTCAAGTAGTCTCCATCAGAGAAATCCGCCCAAAAAGCATTCCGCATCATGCACGTACATGTAGCTGCAAGCATGACTGCAGCCTTGTATCCGTTCGATCTCCACACGTTTCAGGCAGCTGCCATGCCTGTCGATCCCATCATTGTCACAGCACATGCTTGCTGAAGTTGTCGTGACCGCTCTGAGACTGCAGCCGTCAACGGCTCCAGCCACATGCTCAGATAGTTGCCTCCTTAGTGCCAGATCAACTTCGTGCCCTCCGAAGACTGCAGGCTTCCCGGCACACCTTCTGGGACGTCTTGAGAAACGTGCAAGAAAGTGAGTCATTTGAAGTTGCTCTGAGGCTGCAGCTGGAGATTTTGGCAGTGGAGTATTCGCCACCCATCATTTGCAAGCGAAGCCTGGTGGAGCCATCTTGCAACCTCGGCAGATTCAAGGAGCAACGGAGCATCCCGCAACCTGGCCAGAATCTGAACTTGTGACGTGGAATTAGGAGCGAAACGATACGAGATTTGTCTCCTGATCACCTCCAATGATCTCCTCAGCACACTTCCATTGCACGAGACTGCAAGGATCATTTTTCTGCTCTTGCATAGCTCTTTCTTATCTCCATTTCATTGCAGCACCGCCAACATCGCCAACTGCGGCGGAGCGACAATGCCGCCCTCGGGGGCAAACTGAGGATCGTTGTTGCCGGCACCTCTGCAGGCTGCACACGCGGCTTCCACAAGATGGCATTGCGATGCAAATGGCACCTAGCTGGTAGAGCGTGTCTTCATTCGTGAAGATGTGGCCAACCTGTCGAGCCCACACCAAAGAAATATGGCAATAGAGCTGGCCCGCTCTAGCCACATGGAGCTGCGCAGGACTGTATATGCCTATGCACACAAGAGTTTGTGTGGAGTTACATGGGATTTGTGATGCACTGTGGACGCAGGATCTAGTTGCCTCGAGCGGGGCATATCTGTAGCCCTCGTGGTCATCGTTGGAGCTGATGAAGAACAACTGGCCGCAAAAGCAAGTCAGCTTACTCTTGTCTGATCATGCCAGTCAAATGTCGACTGATGTGCAAATAAATGGCTTCTGCCACATCCACTGTCCAGTGAGTACACACTGCCTGTGTCATCCACAGCTCTCGGCTCGGTGACTGTACAACAGAACCCAAGCGTCTTGTCAGGCAGACGAAAAAATCGTACGAAACCGGGCATAACATGCCAGATCAACGACGAGCCTGCTCCAGGCATCGCTGGAGCGGTTCCATCGACAGCCGGTCCGGCTAAAGACTTAAGGCACGTGGATCTGGACTTGGTCCGTCGGGCAACTTGGGCTTGGGCTCTTTGCGCAATAAGAGCATAGGACAGAACGGCGGTTCGGAGATTCAGGGATCATCTGCTGGTCCGGTCTCGCCCGCTTTCTCCTGTGCCACCAGCTTGTCCTCTTCAGCTTTCAGCTCGTCTTCGGACAGCACCAGGGCAGGAAGAACAACGTCGATCTGCTCCTGCTCAAAAAAGGGCAGCCATCTGCGGTTCTCTTTGTTGCCATAAAGGCGCCTTGATGGTGCCATCGGTCTCCTCGGCGTGCCATGCACGCAAGACCTGTTCAAACTAGGACAAACTAGATCACCAGGTGCATTTACACCGCGGAACTCTTGGCTTTTGGCTGAGCAAATGGAACACACCTGAGAAACTGTTAGCACAAGAAACTCTAAGCCCACGTGGTGCCTTTGGTATGGCATCGGCATAAGGGCTGGGGGTGAGGGGGCGATGTGTCACAACCACGCAGACCATTCGTCGTATCGAGTGGAAGCGAAACAGTATGTTCATGCAACGAGAACGAGAAGGAGGACGAACAGCGAGTCGACAGAGAAGGAGAGAGACACGGACAAGCTGCGAGAGTGAGCACAGGAGAGAGTTCGAACGCGGAAGCGAAAGCATGCCAAGAAAAACTGAGGCAGAAATCAAGCTTAGAAGCACACGAAGAAGTCACAGACCGACCACGACATCGACAAGCAAAGTCCAAGAAACCGACGAGTCGTACAGCCGAAGCCTGCAGGATGCCAGCTGCTCTCTGCAGGCGTTTGAGGTAGCTGATGTTCTGTGACAGCATCCAAGTCTATCCGATCACATTATGATCATCCCGGTCTTGCATGGCCCCCCTCATCCAGCCTGCTCGCATCCGCTTGCTCGGAGATAATCTCGACCAGCAAGTGAGCGACAAAGTCCCATCAAACTTACAGCAGCAGCTGACCGAACAGCAACATCGCCTTGAGCATGCGTGGTGCATGCATGAAAACCACAACAAAAACTGAAGACAGCGGAATGCAAAGGTTTAGAAATGCTGCCCCCATGCCGTAGCATGCTCGTTTGGGTACCCGAGCCCTTTACCCTGAAGCATTCTCTGCACGTGCTGCCTGTGAGTGAAGCGCCATCTTTCTCGAGAGACTCCTTCAAGGCTCCCGGTAGCATGGACTTCGCATCAGCATCCAAAGACTCCCAGGGGCAGAGGAACCTGCACGAGACGAGTAAGAAGCCGCCGAAAGGACTCACAACTCCGAGCCTTGCCATCTGGGCTATCAGATCTGTTGTGATGACTGTCTGATGACACTCCTGAGCTTCCGCCCATTTGGTCTTGCTCACCAGTCTCACCACAAGAATCTGCTGCATCCAAGAGTCTGAATCCAAGCAAGTGTTCTTGACCGCATTGATCATGTCTTGTCTTCGGCCACGATCTGCCAGCTCGCTGAAGATCGTGGTAAGTGCATGATTCTCTCCCATCGCGAAAAGCTTGCGTCCTTCGGGTAGAACCAAAACGTTGACCAGCAAGCTTCCGAGCCAAAGTAGGGGATCCTCGTAGCCGTCCCTTGCATCTGGCCGTGGCTTAGTCACGTACGCAGCCACCAGAAACTTAAGCATACCTTCATCGCCACATAAAGCCTGCTGACCTTTGGCGCTCGTAGAGATGTTGGCCAGTAGCATGGCATACCAGTGAGCCATCGTTGCTCGACCCTCCAACCAACCCGATCGGAGGGCTTCGGTGATGCGCTTTGGCGCATTCAGGGAGACCAGCTCTTCCTGTACGCTGGGGATGGTGGAGAGGTTCACCAAAGCCTTCAGAGCCGACACACAGGCTTCCATGCTGCTGGCAGCTTGGATAGCGGTTGCCTTCTGAGCCTGAGAGCTTCCGGCCTTCTCTCCGGCCTCTGCCGCCTCTGAAACCTCTGATTCGGCCTTCTCCGCCAAACGCAGAAGGGGCCTTGCCGCTTTGCGCGGATTCCGGCGGCAGTAGTCCAGGAAGTCAGTGTCCTCCGTTTGGCCTAGAACGCCTTCTGCCGCAAAGCGTCTCACTTCGGGCTTCTGGTCTTGCAAGAATCCCAGCAGCTCTGAAAACTCTTGATCCTGCGAGCTATCACCGTCTGCCATCGCTGCTAGACTAGAGATACGGATCAACCGGCTTGGAAGTAGACTGTCTGCACAGGATTCAACGTTGCGCAGCATTGTGCGACTGCGCTGCGCGTCCTTTCGCTTAGTTGGGCTCGCACCTCTGTACCATGCCGTGATGTCTGCTACTCAACATGTGCACGCTGACATACTACTGCTTCAAAGCTGGATCGAAGATCAGATGAAATCGACGAGACTCTGCAAAGACACGCAGCCGCCAGGGTAAATCACACAAGAACAAGCAGTACAACCAAGAGGAAAAACGCCTGCCTCCTGGTCTGTAACCATCTCGTTCGTTGCTTGGGCATTCATAACGATCTGATAGGACCTTATGGTGCGGTCAGGCCCAGGACACTTCCACGTGGCTCGAGACTCTGGGAACTGGCTTTAGTTTCGCTGAGGGCAGAGCGAATCTGGCGACAACCCGTTCCGCTTTTCGAAGATGATGACAATCTCACGCCTGAAGCAACTCCAGCATGGCCGGTTGCAGGGCATGTTTTGGTGAGCTTTCGGGGCCACTCCAACTCCGTCTGTACCCGGCTTCCCATCTCGAGTCACGACTTGATGCAGGTTCCAGGTCCCAGGCATGTCAACTGTCAAGCCGCGGTAAAAGCAACCCTTCGGAAGGGGGAAGCCTTTCGCCTCGAAAGAAGCAGCTAAGCGCAGCAAAGCACGACACAAACGAGCAAAGCGCCAAGTGGATGGCCTGGTCGCTGCTCCACAGTTCACGAAACACGATGCCGCAAACGGTCTGCGTGGCCTGAAGTCCCGCTCAAGACCGCCGCCTCTACAGCCATGGCTACGCCGCTACGCACCTCCTCCCATTCATCGCTGCCTGGAGAAAGATGGCCGGCAATCCGGAGCGAGGTCACGTTGACTCTGACATTGCGACTGATGAGCTTGCTCTCTTTAGCCAAGCCAAAGACTCCGTGCAGCTCAGCTGCCGATGTTGAAGGAGCTCACGAAGGGCCCCTGCGCACTGCTCCCCATGTGCCTCAAGGCTGCCTCAAGGCACCGTGAGTCAGCTTCGGCCCTAGAGGTTTAGTCAGAGCCCTGTCTGCCGCCTGGTTGATGAAGGTCAGGGTCAGGCTCATGTGTCCTTCTGCCTGCACAGAAAAGCTCCACAGCTCCAGCCACTCCACACGTCCTCTGAAACTCTTTTCGAGTCCGGCCTGCACGTAGCGCCTCCCAGGAGAGTCGGCGCTGCCGGTCCGGAAGGTCAAGACGAAGGGCGAGGACTGCGACCACTCCTTCCGCCAAGCGAGAGAGAGGTAAGACGGCCAGCAACACTCACTGACCTTCGCAAGCTTTGGAAGTCTACATGAAGTTTATACACGAGGGCCCCCTGTGCAAGTCCCGCTGCGTCGGCCAAATCCCAAGCTCCGTTAAGCTGCCTGAGGCAGGACAGAAGATCTGTTGCCACGACCGTGCAGAAGGCTTCACGATGTCCGCAGAAATTTCAGGTCGCTCAACTCACAAACTGCATGCCTGCTTCACATACATACATATGTCTCGCTCTGAGCGCCATGATGCAGCCGAAATGCTTTGCGACACAAACTCCACAATACCAGCATCAGCTGCTCGGCCATCACGTTCCCAGCAAACTTTCCTTTGTCATGAGTGGGCTTGCAAAGGAACGGAACGTTCGTTCTGACATGCCTGCCGCGTTGTTGAAAGTCGCGATGACTACTGAAGCTACAGCTACTCAAGCAAGTCTCAACCGCCGTGCGGAGCTGGACATCAGTTCCCCACGGGTCACGCCTGCAGACAAGAATGCAGCACAGCAGAAACAAATTGCGTCGTGTCGCAACTGTTACACATTTTCAAGTCCGCCTCGATTAGTTCGACGCCATTGGCCTCCCTCAATGTGGAATCTTGGAGGTATTGGTGCTGAGGCAAAGCTGCCCTGCTCCACGGTGAAGACTGCTGGATTGGAGGTTTCAGCGATGGCAATCCCAATAGGTGCACCTGGCGCCTGGCTCCGGTCTGCAATTCCGCCGTCGGATGCATTGGCTAAAGCCAGCACGTCTTCAGAACTCAGCGGCAAATTGTAGAAACGTATCTCGTCGAGCTCCAAATACCCGTCAGATGCGTTAGCACCAACCGGGAATTCGTCAGACACATGCCCAGCGAATTGAAGCGGCAAAGTAGACGTGTTCACAACAACGCCCAGGCGTTCGTATGCAAGTGCTCCGTCAACGTAGAAGCGCAAGCTGCCGCTCATCCTGTGGGGGAGAACTTTCGGATTGCAGCTTCGAGTAAGTTCAGCAAAGTTTTAAGTTTTAAGACAACAGACAGCAGTGACAGAAGGCATTGGCGAGACAGACGAGCAAGAGAGCGCCGAAGTGCAAGAATCTGGAACACACGAAGGGCCCCGTTCTGCCCGGTATAGATATTGCTCTATGTTGGTTCGACAGCATCCATGGCAATGTGCCTAACCCTAAACCCTGAACTGAAGCCCTGCCCCTAAACCCGTAAACCGTAACCCTGAACCCCGAAATGTTGAACCGCTGTTGATCCGGCTCGCTTAGTCCGGACACCGAAATAGCATGTAAGTTACCCGCGCATAGGGCTCATCAGGAACAGTGGTAAGTGCATATTTGCGGTGTTATCCTGGAAATACAGTGCGATCTGTCGCTGGCAGTGAAGGCAGGCAAAGTGTTGGCCCTGTCTCACTGGTCATCTCTACTCCAGAATCTACCCTCTGCTCCTGCCGGCATAGACAACTGCAACATGGGCCCATTGTGCCATTGGTAGCACGGCATCGCCCATTGCCTCCAGCATCAAAAGCATGACGGAACGACACAGAAGAGCTTTGGCAGCCTGGTCTTCGCCGGAGATGCCGGCGGCTTGACGTAAGTAGAGGCTGCCGGCAGGCCACGGGGCAGAGGCGACGCCTCTGCCACAGACTCAGCTGAGCTCTGCTCTTCTCTTAAAGGCTGGGGCCGGGGCCTATCTCAACTTCGCCATCCTCAAAGATGCCGTTCCCGTTCGCCATTCCACAGAGCGTGTACCATCCATCTTTCCTGGGCTCACAGCAAGCGACTGGAAGAAATCCGGATCAGGCAGCACTGGTGCAGGCAAGCTTCTCCAGTTGCACCCAGAAGACGACACTCCACGCTTCAGTTCCTTCAACTGGACTTCCAGCGGGCAGACCTGTAAACTGGTGTCACGCGAGCGAGCATTCATGATACCGTCACAGACTCCGAATGCAGTTGCTGCATCAGGCGGTAGACTGTCGAACCGAATCCTTGAAACGAGTGCAACTGAGGGGCCCATAGATGAGCCGGGGATAAAGCGAAGCGCATAGGCACCCCACTTCCCTGGAGTTCGCTGCACGCCGGCACCTGCAAAATTGGACTTGGCTTCCGGGCTGACTGCACTTGGTGCTGTATAACACAAGTCAAGTTCCACACATCGAACGACCGGCGCTGCCTTGAAAAGTACCATGTCTCTCCCCAACTACGTCGGCAGCCAAATCACCGTCCTCCTCGTCCAATGGCAGGTAGTTTTGCAAGCCTTGGAACACCAGGAAGCCCTTGGCCATGTCCAGCATCGGCTGGGAGCAATTTTCACCACACTGCACTCCGGCTCCGAGTACAATCGTGTCGCCATCCTTCAGCCCAAGGTTACCAAGTCCACCGCCCGAATAGGTAGTCCCGGCAAACGTCAATTGCAAACCGGTATCTGTCGTCTCTAAGTTGGTCAGAGGAACTGTCTCACAGTTTTCGTTTAACTCGTCGCATCGCACCCGATCAGATGCGAGGGTCGTCGTACGCATATGGCCCGAATTAGCGGTGAGGAAGTTGCTGCTACACAGAGCATGGCCGTTTATGGGGTCCTCGTTCGGCTGTAAGCACATCCGTTCGGCAGGTGGGAAAGCTGCACAGCTGGAATCCTCCAAGATGAGACGCAACATGTCGCCGTCTTGTAGGTTGACACCCAAGTACTCGAAGCGGAAGGTCTTCATGGTCGGAAGCACCCAGTACTGATTCGCAACAGGACCTGCTACGACCAGTGCGCCGACTGGCACCCAATAGGGGCTTCCGAGGCAGACCTGTTCACCAAATTCGTCAAGTCCGCCCATGTCTGGACAGTAGCATACGACAGCTGTTGCAACATCAGGAAAATAGATGCTCTTGCCAACCTCCCCACCATCAAACACAATTCTGTCTCCGCGCACCGTTGCCGAGTAGGCCGAGGCATTTGCACGAGTGAGTCCAACAACGCCCACTGTGCGCCCCTTCTCACAGGCTTCCCTGGTGGAGCTGTCCTCCGTAATAATCATCGATGCAAGCCGAATTCCGCCTCCGGTAGTCAGGCCAACGACATTCTCCGGATTGCGGTAGGGCAGCAAGGATCTGGACATCGAGATCTGCCCCACCTGGCCAACCTGCTTTGGAGGAGACGTAGTGCTTCCGCCTGGGACGGTAGACGAAGCCGCGAGAGACGCCTCCAGCACAGCAACCTCGCCAACCTTGAACCACTCGCTAGCGTTTTCTCCCCGATAATCCGGTGTGAAACAAATGTCTAGCCAATTGCCTTTTGGGACAAAGGTCGGCCAGTTGGGCAGAGTGTAGCCCTCTGCTGGACGAAAGCGCTTCACATCGGAACGGGGCCCACCATCAATCTGCAAGGCCAAATCTGCTACTGGCAGAAGAAAGCTCTCATGGACGGCATGCTTGCAACGATGTTCCGGATGCCACGCTGGGAAGACCTGTGCTTTCCATGGTTCCGGCTGGCGTGTGAAAATAATGCGTGAGGCAGCCTCGAAAGGGCAGCCGCCGAAAGGACAGAACACACAGGAGACGAATGGGATGGAGGCGAGGACTCCGGATGAAGAAGTAGCACAGGAGAATTCTCCCACTGGCATCACTGATGCGGTAAAGAGCTGTACGAACCCAACTTGTTGGAAGAACCCTGCGGCTCCGGTGACAACGTCGCAACCACTTAGCCCTGTACAATAACAAACGGCAGCTGCTCTTGCGGTTTGGGAAAACACCAGTGGCTCGCTAGGTGGCATCGTGACGAGCGAAGCAGAGTCTAGCTGAAAAGATCGGTTTCCCTCTTCACATGTCTTGCCTGCACAGAAAGCAGCAGTGTCTGCTGCAGTCGTGCCACACATTGGAGTGTCAAGCGGCAAGGGTGCCCCATCACCACCATACAAGCCATCGATGCCTCGAGACCAGGACAACAATCCTAGGTCACCTTGCACGCCCTCGATCGGCAAGGCACAGCTGCCATACTCTGAAGCTTTCCCCAGCAAAGCGTGACAGCGGAACGAGCGAGCAGCCAGGCAGCCAGCCGTCTCGCAGGTGCTGATCAAACCATCGGCAATCAATTCAACATTCACCAAATCCACGTGGTCATTGGAAAAACTACCATCATCTGAATAGCAAAGCTGTGCTCGCCCAGCAGAGTTAAACGGTATGGGGTCCGCGAAAGACGTGTTGATTTGCCTCATTCCGCGAGAATCAAGCGTTGCCACACCCGAGGCAGACGACAACGGGGCTCCCACCATTTCTGTGCTAAGTTCCATCATGCTGCCTGCAGCACAAGCTCCGGCCAGCACCTCCTCACGTGTAACCGCGGCGCTTATTGCCTTCAGCCGCACGGAGCCGGAATCAATGACCGAAAGCAGTGGCAGCTGTAGTGCGATCTTAGTGATGGGCTGGGCTGCACTGAATTTAATACTTTCACCGTCGATGGCCGCTTTCTCTTCACCATTCGCAAACATTAAGAAAAGACCTGTTCCAGCAGGGAGCCGTGTTGTCACAAAAGCCTGTACATTTAAGAGCACGTTCAACAAGTCAGCACGGCCGGACGCAAAAGAACCATCGTCACTGAAGCACAAGCGATACATCCCGCCCTGTAAGAAAGTGGCACCCGTGGCAATGTCAGCAGTAAGCGTTGAAACTCCCTGTGCCACGTTTGCCGCGGTGCCCCAGCGGGCTGAAAGTGGAGCCTGCACAACCTGATCACTTACGGGTCCAAGCTGATCAGGCGCACACTCTCCATTTCTGGCCTCGTCTTCCGACAAGTACCCAAAAACTACGCGCAAGCGACCTGCGGCCACGTTGAAAAGAAAACCTTGAGGAAGGCTGATACTAATACCGTATAATACTTCACCGGCCAGTATATGAAGTTCCTGACCATCAGCTGCAGATGAAGTCTTGCTTCCAAATAGGTGCACAGTCAAGCTTGTGCCTGCGGGCAATATGGATGAAACAAAAGGGCTAGTCTGAAGCCGCCTTTCCGCGGAGCTGGGGTCCAGTGAGGCATCCAGTGACTGCGAGGATCCAGTTGCGGATGTCTGAGCCACAGATGCCACAAGCGCCCACACCAGCACCCCCATTCGGAGGGTCTGTGGCCACCTTTCCATACTGCACGCCACTTAGGCTGCACTGCGGCATCAAACATGGATGCCAACACCGCACATGTGGAGGTGAGGATACTCTACTACGCCCAAGTCTATAAGAAGTTGGAGTAGCACGTCTTGCGAAGAGATGTAGCTGGACGTGAGGCTTGACCAGCCTGAACACTGCAATAGCAAATCTTGCTCGTTGTGAATTCCTTCTGCTTGCGCTACGCACAGCACTCAACAGGCGTAAAGAAACAGCCGCCTCTTTACCAAACAGACTCTGCCACTATAGCTAGTTCTGCTCACTACGTACCGCAGAGCGTAATATTTCTTGCTGCGGCCGGGCCAGAGTTTCGCAGTTGCGAGCTCGTGCTCAAAGCCCCTTGACCTATGCCATGCCATGCCATGCCAGCTGATTCTGTCAGTACCCTTGCACTGTGTTCCGACATATGCCAAAGGCATCAAGAGCTCGAAAAGTTTCAAGAGGACGCAGGGCATGCAGTCCGGCTGCCAGATCAGGACCAGCACTGCGTTCATGTCTATTGCACTATGCATGGCTGCCGGAGGAGCGCTTGGAAACACCAAACATGTGAATTCTTGCGCTGCATCCTGCCCCGGATGCAACAACCTCGCCACGAGCCATAGCATGCCGGGAATGGTTCGGCATTACTTTGAGGAGCCACGGGTGCAGCGTTGTATTCGGGTGACGAAGCATGCCTCTATATATATACAAGTCACATGCCGAAGCATCGTCTCGGCTCCTGGAAAGATGGGAAGGCCTGCTGCAGGTGATGAGGACAACTCCCGTCTGCTATGCATGCACCGTTGCTATGAACACGTTTCTTGGGCCATGACCTTGCCTGGACTAACAGATTCCAAGCGCCGGGATGGCACGCTGCTGTTGCCATCCCATGTCCCAGGGTCATGAGAAGCCGGCAAAAATAGGGAACGTACAGCTTGCCTAGTCTTGAGTAATCAACCGCTCAATTGGCCTGCTCGGCTTCTCGGAGTTAGCAGTTTACATAGTACATGTTGAGCAGGATGCCGCAGACCTTGGACATGTGCATCGCCCCGGCCGGGCTTCTTCATCCACTCCGAACTAAGTTCGCGGAAGCTTGAGAAAGGTCAGGACAGCTCAGGTCAAGGCGACGGTGTTCAGGAGGACAGCTTAGCCCAAGCCCAAGCCTGGCCCATGCGCCGTTGTCAACAAAGCGACTTGAAACGACTCGGCTGTGACAACTTCCACTCTTCCACTTAACACGCCAGAAGCAAACATGCAAGACAAGGAGTGCTGCTCTGCCTCGCCCACTTATACATTATACACCCCGGCCTTCCGCATACGCCAAGACATCAGCGTTGGACACCTGGCTGCGGAACCTGAGTGAGCCCTTCGTCTAAAGACGGGCTCGGCCGGGGCATGCCAAGGGCTTTGCGGAGAGCAATGCCTGATCTGGGAAGAATCCTCCTCGCCATTGCTTCTCGGCACAACAACAGGACCTCCAACAGTTCAACGGTTCAAAGGCTGCGTTTCTCCCCTGAGTCCTGGGGCAACGGTCGGCCCGCGAAGGAAGCCTGCGTGCAATCTGATGCGCCTAGAATCTGCCCCCAGGCCTTCTTCAAGTTATTCGAGCACACTCGATTCACACCAGGATCGCGGCACGTCCAAAGTGTGGATTCTCCGCTTCGCGGAGAGCCTACGGATTGGCATGGTTTCCGGACTACCTATTGCCTCCTGCGAAGGCAGAACGCTACAAGAAATGCCGCCTTTTCTCGAGCTGCGGCCTGTGGGTCTTCCAGGACACCCAGAAGCTGGCAAAGACAACTTTCGGCATCCAAGAAGCAGCATTGCGTGCACAAAGGTCGGCAACGTGCATCGCCGCCTCAGCCGCTGGAAAGAACCGCCACTCGATGACGAGACGACTTGCAGCACAACACCCCGCGCCTCCCAAGCTACCTCGTCCATGTCAGAGCCTATCAATATCAAGACTGGCTAGACCCAAGACAAGTGCTGAACCAGGTCAATGCCTTCACAAGTTCGAGGTCGGCAAGCTTTGAAAGGAGTCCGTCTCCTCCAACGCGAATACCACGAAACCAGACAGCGGGAGACTTTCCCATACCTCCCAGACCTTGCAACGAAGACCTTTCAACGTTCGCTTTCCCTGGATGCGTCTCCGTTGAAGGCTTTTTTTGAAGCTCCTGGAGAGCTTCATCTCCTGCCCGTCCTGAGAAAACCAAGAGTCTGAGGCTCACGGCTGGCAACAGCGTCGCACGCCTGCTGCACGTAACAATGTCAACTCCCTCTCAGATTTTGGCCAGTTGGAGAAGAGCAGCATTGCACCTGTTGTCACTTGCCCGAGTAGCATTCGAAGAAGATTCTATCATCGAATCACCGACAATCCTATAAACATAGATCCTGCAGTTCAGAACTTGGGCGGGGGCAGAGTGGGGGATGGCAACAGTGCTTTAGTCACTGTAGTCTAAAGCCAGCCCCCCACTGAACCAGCACGGTAGCACACCAGACTGTGGGCACGACCTGATGGTTTCTGCCACGGCACAAGAACCGGGCTGCACATACCATCAACGCAGCCGCCAGCACAGCGGCGGTGTCCTTGTGAAAGTCGGAGTTCGAACCATGTTGACAACAAGCCGTCTGCAACCCCGTCCATAGCAGCATACGAGCACAGAACACAGGTGACACACAGACAAAGACACAGACACACACCCACACACACACACACACTTGCGCCAGGTCTCATGACAAGGAATGTCGTCGGTGATGTGGCTCTTTTTCTTTGATCTTCTTCTAAATACTGCGATTTGCTGCATATGCCGATGTCTAGAATTACCGGGCTCAAGGCTCGTCTAATGCTGCATTTGCCGATATCTAGAATCAAAGGTCTCAAGGCTCATCTTCATGGGTCCCGACGCTTCCGATTGATCTTTGCATAACGCGACTGCAAGCAAACAAAAGCGCTCAAAATCCTGTTTTTGAGTTCTTGGCTTAGCCCCATGCCATATCAATGCAGGTACGTGGGAGTGATCAGCTCCCATGCCACAGGCATCCAACAAGTGTCTTTGTTAGCACCAGACTTGTTGGAACCCTCGGTGCCCCCTGTTTCACTTCAGGCCCCAAGTCGTCATTGGAAATCAGATGCATCAATCAAGTGCATCTATCCATCAAACTCAGTGGAAGTCAAGAGTATTTTGATGCCTTAGACCTCATGTCTTGCGCATGCCCATATATATGACTGACAGGAACGCATCTCGCGCAGCGATCGCCCATGCCAGTTTCTCTTGCAGGTACAGGCTCACACGTCTGTGAACCCTTCCAGTCAACATCCGTAGCTTCGTTGGCATGGCTACGATGTGTGTGACCGCCATGCCCCCCTGCTACTACTGACATGCCCTTTGCAACAGGGTTGGACACACACACACACACATACACACACACACACACACACACCTCTGTGCGCGCGTCACACCCACACGAACCCGCGCGTGCGCACACAAACATGTAACTACACAGAGAGATCGGGGATGACAGCTATGCAGACAGACAGGACAGAGGGAGGAAGGGAGGGAGGGAGGGAGGGAGGGAGGGAGGGAGGAGGGGTGAGAGGGACTCCATCGATTCTCCGAGGATCTCCATACAGCTCGCTTGGCGTCACCATGGCAGTGAACATCAGGGCGAGGCGGGCGAGGCCATGGTTGCCATCCCCCCAGTGGCTCTCCAACGCTGCAGTGGAAGCGAGGTTGCAGGGCGGGGTGCAGCGAAGACTCGGAGACCTCAGAGACGATGTCTGAACTCAATAATTTGGGCCGTTATGTCCACTCCGCTCTGTTTTTGAACTCGCCTCAGCCAGGCTCTGCAGAAAAACGAGAGAACGGTATATTCGAAAGCATTCGGTATCTCAGGGGGTTGGGGATTGGGCTCGGCTTTGGATGCCACTTCCAGCGCAGTCACTGGAATCGCAGCTTTTACAAGTCTTCGCCAGCTTCCGGCTTTTCACGGCATCCAAGGCCTTCCGGAGCGGCCCAAACGAACTCGGGTATGCATCTCATTGCATCTCACTTCTCAACGGCCAGGCGCTGCCAGCGTCCTTCATCTGGCCTGGAGCAGACATTTTGGTCCTTAGAAATCTTTCTTCCCCTCGCCGCAAGAGAACCGAGGTCATGACCAGCGACACTTCACGTTTTCCTTTTCGACCTTTCGGACGGATATCGACGTGTTGCTGAGAGGGCACATGTCAGCAGGTGGCCCACATCCAGCACGTTGTCTTGATGCCCTCTCAGGAACACAATGTCGCCTTCGACGCTGTTCACAGTGGGAGGAAGTATTGCGTTATGAGCATTGAGCACGCCTGTGCGAATAGGCCCACTGCCGCCTTCACTGGTAATCCTGCACAGTCTGCGGCGTCGCGTGATGAGCTTTGCTCTGCTCTCGGGGTGAGGAAACTTGTTACAATGGTCTATGAAAGTGAGCCGCAGTCCTAATCTTCTGCCAGTCTCCGACTTCGGTGTAGCGTGCCTGAGCCACGACCAGGACCGGAAGTGAAGGGCATACCATCTGCAAAGAGGTGCTTGGCTTCCGCTCCCGAACGGCCGTACCCACGAAATCCAGGTAAACCTCACGAGGAGATGACGCGGAAGTTTGGTTTCCGATGCTTCTCAGAAAATCTGAGACAGCTGGCACCGAGGTGGCACTTCAGTGTCACGGTATCTCCTTCCACCGAAGTCCCGGCTGTAAGGCAGATGTGGCAGAGCTCATTGTGTGCACTGCACAGGACAGATCACGTGTCCCCACCACGACCTCCTATCAGTACTGTCCTCAGAAACCTTCGAAAAGAACCCCGCAGAAGGACCGTCGGTCGGAGAGTTCAGCTTCAGGGATGCTTCACACGGGCACGCACGCGCCTGACTGAATGGCACCGCCTTAGGGGCGGTTCAACGGCTTCTGCTCAAGCATGACTGTCAAGCATGCAAGAGCTCTTACTCTGGCCTCCACTCTTCTGGATAACTAAAGCCTTCCAGGATCTTGTTGCACCGCAAAGCAACCCGAAGATGAAGAGAAATGGATACAGATGTCGATCTGCTGGGAGCAAACTTTCATCCCAGCGCTGCTTCGTTAGACAAGGCTTTGCCAAATTCGCAAAAGCACGAATGACAGAAGCCTGTCGCGGCCCTTTGATCTCTGCTCGTGCTCTTGGATCCTCCAGATCTGTCCGACGAAGACCCGTTGTTCGTGTCAGAGAAATGAGAGGGCGGACCCTCCGTCCTCCCGGTGCTCTGGATATTCCAGATACTTGCCGGTTCTCGCCAGAAAGTAAATTGTGTCGCCTGCTGGCTGCAAAATCACGCGACCAGCCGCACAATCACAAGCAACATGGAAGTTGCTGTTGATTAGAAGAGTATGCACTGCATCGACTAGCCTGAGATGATCGGCTTCCCCGGAGGACCCGAGATGTCAGTCGACTCGATATAGCCGCTTGGCGCACCTGGTTGTATTCGAGCGCAGGAACTCATGCGGAAGCTGGAATGACTTGTGCAAAGTCCAGCTTTGAGCTTGACCCTCAGCGGTATTCTGCTGCTCTGTGATCGGAAGCCAGGCCGTCTGCTTGTGTCGCGAAGCACCCTGACGGTTTTCTAAGGTTGCTGCTGCGTCTCGGCTTCCTGGCAAAGGTGTCAACCCTAAGCTGCACTCCCTCTTTGACTCTGACAAGAACTTAAAGTTCGTTCGATTGAACATGCCAGCTCTGCAGCGTTGCCGGCGACTCCGATGCTGTCTCGACGTCCTCCTCCTCTTCCTCTTCCTCCCCTCGGTCTTCCTCTTCGCTGGCGACTCCGGACTCCTAGAAAGAGAAGGCAAAGAGAAACGCAGACGCAGGAGTCCTTCCGGCATCTCGGATCCTCTGCGAGGATGCGAGCAACCAGCTCGGCCTGGCTGAGCAGTTCTTGGAGTTCGGGGACCTTTGAGAGAGGACGGTGCAGGCGCCTTCTTGCCGCTGACAGGCAAGGACTTGGATCTGCAAATCTCCTTCAGCTCGGCGAGCTTCATCGCATCCAGCTCACCTGCTCGGACTCTCCTCGACGCATGGCCTGTCGAAGCAGGCAAGGCGCCTTCGGTCGCCCGCAACGCGATGTGAGATCTTAGGCCTGCACAAAGTTCCAAGCATGCATTGATCAAAGGCAAAGACTTCCCTGCGCTCAGAGAGCGGCGATTGCAGCTCCTCAGCCTTGCTCTCGCTTGAACTTAAAGAGTAAACAAGAAAAGATCTCTGAGACCTATGAAAACTGAGGATGCTGCATTTGGTCGGTGCTTTGAGCGACAAAGGACACACCCTGCAAGCCGACTTTTCCTTCTCCATTCGATCCACTAGGGCCAGTTAGGGGAAAGGTTCGCGGCCTTCGAGAGCCCATCGCACCCCGAGCAGCACCAAAAAACGGAGGCGATGACGGCCAGTGCCTCAGACGACTCGAGACGAGATCCAAAGCTCTGCTCCGCAAAATCTCTGAGAACGCCCCGAGCGCCTTCGCCGCTGCCGCTGCAGGCCTTCCGGTACGGTCTCACATCAAAACGAATTTGCCCTGAAACGGGGTGCATTTATGCGAAGGTGCTGTGACATCGCTCAACAATTACTAAACTAATGCATGTCTGGCAGTATGCGGCAAGGCCTTGTGACAGGTCTGCGAAGCATCTGCGGCACTGCCTGAAGACGAGATCACATAAGTCAGGTCAGAAACTATCCGATGGTAATCCACAGGCAGGCTGGTGCGTCGAGGCACAGTATGCCCGGACATGGCCGCGCAGGCAGCGAATGAAAAGTTTGATGTCAAGACCAGCGTGGTTTGGCTGCGAACTTCTGGTAGAGGTTGGGATGGACTTTGGAAGTCCAGCCTCCGTGTCTGAGGAATTTGCAAACTTTCCGGAGGTTTGGTCTTTGGACATCAGTTGCACAGACTGAAGGAAATTCGAGCCACACAGCCACACGGTCGTCATCGCATATCGCATAGGTGTCCTGTCGCACTGTGCATGCCAGCATGCAGCACCCAGGCCCGACAGAAGTGCCACATTCTCGTTGTGTGAGCAGAAGCTGGGGCTTGACAAGTCCAATTGCAAAGCATCTTGTAGGCCCAAGCTTTCAGGAATCTGACAGCCGACCACTGCGAGTGACGACTTAAGCCCTTTCGGGCACCGGCAGCTCGACATTGACCATTTTCGAATTCTGGAGCAATCGCTCCGCTACAGCAAGCAACCTGTCGACGACCTGACTAGTTTCGAGCTCTTGAGCAGACTCCAAGAAACCGGCCACATTCCCTGTAAGTGAATGCAGTTGCTTGCCGTGTCCGCGTGCACACGATGCATCAAAAAATATGCCGCCTTGTTCAGGTGAATCTTGGCCTGTAACGGCATCGCAAAGCACTGCGCGCAGAGCCGCGAAGGACGAGAGACACAGCGACGCAGAAAGCCGCGGCCTTGACCCAGGCCTCAGCTCGCGACGCGCTGCGCAGCAAGCACGGGCGAGCAGCGAACACCGTGCTTTTCAGCGCCGCTCTTCGCAGCGCGAGTCCCTGCGCTGAGGATCCGGCGCTGGCGGCGGCACGGCGCTCCCAGCGCTCGTGCCTCGGAGGGTCCGACACCCGCCATCGGAGGAAAGAGAGAAGAAGAACAAGCAAGCAGTATTCCTCAGCCAGGCAGCTGCTAAAGCGGGCTCCGCTAAGCGATGATCGGTTCGCGAGCCCTGCCGGGCGCCACCAAGGCAGCTTCGAAAGCTCCGTGCTCCAGTGCTCTGACCTGACGGCGTGTAGACCGGAGCCGCCGGTGCTGCCGGTGCTGCTGGTGCTGCTGGTGCCGCCGGCCTTCGGACCCACATCAAACCAATGCATCGCAAGACAGTGTAGAGAAGCATCAGGGCATGATAGGGCATGCCAGACGTGCACGGCAGAAGCGGATTTTTCTGCTTAGGATGATCAAGTCTTGGCAACAGCCTCTGTTTTTGGCACGGCTCGCTTTTCGCCCAGATTTACACTGCGGCCGAGCTGTGCAAGTGAGCTAAGAACTGGATTGCTTCGGGTCTTAGCGAAGCGACCTGCGGACAAGAGCCGTACCTGCGCTCGATACACTATCCTTTGCAGCATGATAAATACTCTCTGCACTGTAAGCCACCACAATACTACTGTCACTAGAACAACTCTCACGACAGAAGCTCCTTATTAGTTCTGCAAACAGGTTCCGTTGCCGGCACCCGGCACTGAAGTCCGCAGAGACCCCTGCATGCAGGAATCTCTCTGTTTCGTCAAAGGTTAACCCCTCAGGCTGCGGTGTTTCCATGCTTGCCTGCAATTCAAATCAGCCTTGCAATGCCACACCCAAGAACTAGGTGGAGACAAGGCGGAGACCTTATAACCTATACTTGCGGACACAACATAATGTTGAGGGCAGTCAGCTAGCTTTATTCCTGGGACTGACTTACGTGGGCCGGGCTTGTCTCCGATCGTCACAGTCACACGTTTGAGACCTATGGCACAATGGGCGTTTCGCATACGGTCATCAAACGAAGTCAAGGAATAAGTCAGTTCCCACTGACACAGGCTCCAGTGAAGTGTTTGGCACCCTGCCAAACAGCTCCACGAGCTGAGTCTTCTGTGCGGTGAGTTCACTGGAGGCCTGTTCCCGCGGAAGCTGTCGAATTTTGTGCACAGTCAAAGGACCCACGCGCAGTGCCATACGTTGTGGCTCAGATGCGCAGTCTGTGCAGGACCCGATGCCACTGTAAGGTCGAAACAGACACTGCAACTGCAACACTGCACAGTACGCGACTGTAAAACGTGGAAGTATAGAAAGAAGGATCAGCACCGTCCAAGGTGCTATGCGCGACATCTGAGCAAAGGCCTGCAGCGCTGTTTAAATCTGATGCACTTTGGTTGACCAAACCAAGAGCACTCATAATATAAATGGATGGGATAAATCCGGCTTGCCCAACTGTACGGAGGCACCGGCACCATCCAAACCCCAATTCCCGATCATTGATGCAGCACTCTGCCTGAATTGCCAGCGGTTACCGCTGCCAGGCAGTTAGCTATGGTGTCACTTGTCAACACTACTGGACATCAACGGCCGGCTCAGGAATGGTCAACTTCATGACGCTTCCCATCTCAACACCTGCGTCCTTCAAACTCTTGCTGCCGGTAATGAGCCTGCCCCGAAAGGAGAGTGTTGGCAGCGGACCTTCCCCGAATCCACAAAGCTTGGCGGCTTCTGCTGTTGCCTCTGCAGCTGATGTGGAAAGATGCACGTCGTAGGGCTTCATCTCTCCAGATGTCCGAATGAAGACTCTGGCTTTCCTTGGAACTTGTGCAGATTTCGACACGACTACCATCTCGATCTTGCTGCCCTCAGTCACGCCGCATTCGCTCATTGTAGCTTTGCCTTCGTGAAGCTGCACTCCGGCATGATGAAGCCGCATGTCCTCGGTTTTGGCGTTGCCAAGGCGACAATCCTTGATGTAGTCCTTCAGATCCCTCACGGTGTCGGAAGCCTTCACTGATAGCACCTCATGAACTCCGTCCATTGTTGAGACGGTGACGTGGATGGAGTCACACACCGAAGTTGCTGCTGTGGATGGTTCGGTGGGGACTTGGAAAGGCATTTGGTTCACGTAAACACATGCCGGTGCCATCGGTGCATATGGCGGGTAGTAGGTCATGGATGGCATGCTCATCATCACGCAGATGCTCATGGCTGGGAAGCAACGTCCTCTCTTTCGAAGGCGATATCGAGAGGATCGCTCGCTCTCTCTTATCCTGCTTGACTCGTAGTGCAAGTGCCTGCGGTTGATGAAACATTGCCAGGTAAACAGCGGACCGACAGGCTGAAGTCGTTGGAGACCGGCACAGCACCCGAACACGACTTGCGCCTGGCCGGTGCAGCCGGTGTTGGTCGAAACTCCGAGGGTCGAGAGGCCGTCGACCGTGTTGTGGCCTCATAGCCCGAAAGGAATCAGATGGTACTAGTTCCAGCACTGGGTCTTTTATGCAACACCAGCACACGACCAGCAGTAAGGTGCAATGTGCTCACAGAGCAAACGCCAAGGACCATGCAACTCCAGGACCTTGGCAGTGTTCGTGGATGAATACTGAATACTGACACTCACTGGGAAGACAAGAAACAGCTATTACATGTACTGGTCGGGACCACATTTCAAGGACGGGGCTTGCAACTCGCGGCCTTTGAAAGTCATGGGACATCGAGATGCAATGGAGGTACTCATCAGCTTGCGGACATTGCGCGACGACTTTTTGCATGCACTGCAAACAACAGGAACAACACTTGAATGTCCCACGTTCAGCACGCCTCGTTGGCGAAACGGCAGGCGGTGCCCCAACTCCTTGCATGCCAGATGAGAACGATTCCTACAATTCCGCATGGCTCGATACTGCTGCTTGCACGACTCACGTATGCTTGGACGGCAAAGGCACACGTGCTAATGCTATCGAATCTGAATGTCTGCCCCGGCGGTGTCGCGCCTCCGGGCCCCGAGCCAGAACGCGTGGAAGAGCCCCTGGGTGGAAAGCAACAAACAACCATGGTGCATTGTAGCAGCAACATGCCTGTGGCTTTTGGCATGTAAGAAGCTGAGGCATGGTCAGTAGCGAAGGCCGCCCTCCCACTCCCTTCAGCGGCACTGCATCTGCCGAACACCCGAGCGGCACATTTATTGAAACTGAGCGGGACACGGGTCTGCTCAGTGCACTCGAAGGGGCCTCAGCTGCAGCGACAGTCATCGCACATGCAATGATGCCTCCCGGGTGCCGGGCGGGAGGCGGTCCCACTGGCCCTCCTGTACCAGCAGAGACGCTGGTCCTCGGCAACGCATGCTTCCATGACCAACCATACCAAGAGGCTTGCGCCGTCGGTCCTTGTTGATGGGGAAGGTGGTGGAGGGCCCACCTGAGCCAGTGCTTTGGCAAGTCTTCTTTGCTTTGTGATTCTCATGCAAAGCGCTAACTGCGCCAGGGGCACCCCAGGTGGTGCAGGCGGTGCGTTAGGGCCTGGCAAGGATGCTAGTGGATCCCATGACCTGGCCGTGAAGAATTTGCCTGGAGGCATTGGAGGGCCTCTCCCAACAGACCTTTGCTCGTGTTGCAAGCCAACGGCTAGGCCTCTGAGCTTTGAGATTCGCCGCATGACTGGGCTGCCTACGGCCCAGGCACAGGAGGAGCTGGCTGCGAAACCTGGGCGAACAGTCATTGACAACGTCGTCCAACGAGCCGCAGCAGTTGTGCTCCCAACGGTGCTGGGTGCCGGGCCCCAATGCGCGGAGCAGCTGGCGGTGCAGACGGTGCAGCCGGTGCGGCCGGTGCAGCTGGGCTGGCCGGCGGGAGAGGTGCCCCTGTGAGGCAATGAAAATCGAATACAAATCTTCCTGCGTCAGCCTGAGCTCCGGGACCTGGCGCCGCTCCACCCATCCTTGCAGGAGAGAGGCGCTGAGAGTCATGGGCTTACAGTGAGTTGAACAAGAGGCCACTGTCCTTGGAGGTCCTGGCATCCCCGGTGCAGGTGGGCCGGGCATCGCCTTCCCAAACCCACAAACCCATCTTCTGTAAAATTCGAATGCAATCACATCATGTCTCTTTCCGTCTCTCAGCGCTGGGCCACACGGGGTGCTGCAGGTGCCAACGGAGCGCCGGGTGGGGTTGGTGGCGCTGGAGCACCCGGTGGGGAGGTGCCTGGAGCAAAAGGGGGCTTTGGACCCGTGCTGGGTGCAGTTGGGCCCCGTGGAGCAGCACCCGGAGCTAGTGGAGGCCCTGACCCTGGTGCACTGGGAACCCCTGGTGCTCTGGGCGCCGCAGGGGGCAGCGGCGCACCAGGCACAGTGACAGGTGCAGGAGGTGCACCGGGAGCCGCAGGTGGAACCGGTGCTCCGGGTGCTGCTGGAGGCACACGTGGTGCGGGTGCCGACACAGATGGAAAGGCTGGTGCAGCAGCAGGCACGGTCGGCGTCGGTGCTGGAAGTGAAGGCGCAGCAGGAGCCCGGGGAGCGGCAGGTGCTCCAGGTGCAGCAGGAGGCACAGCGGGAGGCACGGAAGGAGGCACAGAAGGAGGCACAGCTGGTGCAACTGGAGCTGCAGGAGCAGCAGGAGCAGCAGGTGGCAAGGTCGGCCTTAGCGTGCCATGGAACGGTCGACAGATAGCTTGGGCCTAATTACCCTGCAGAAGAAGACTTCCTCTTAGTCCCTGACTGGTGAACACCAGGTGCTGCTGGTGGAACTGGCGCAGGTCCCAACGGCCTGGATGCATGGACTGCCAACGCACAGTTTCGATGGCTGCAATGCCCAAACACGTGATGCGCGAGGTCTGGCTGCATAGGCTGTGCTGGCTGGTTCTCAGGCTGAGACCACACTCTGTCAAATCTCAACACCAATGCCAGCCCTGTCAACCCACTGAGATGCCCGGCTGCGCTGCCAAAGGTGCCAGAGGAACCGCTGGTGGGCTCGCTGGCGGCACAACTCCGGGCCTTCACAAGCGCTAAAGGAACAAGACTCCCACATGCACGTATTGCGAAATCACAAACTGTCCGCGACATCTCCAAAGATGAATGCACGGTACCACCGTCGCTGAATCATGAATTGTGAAGCTTGGAAGATGTAGTGCAGCATGAAAGTATGGCGTCTTCTGATGGTAAAAGTTGCCTGCACAGACGAACGTTTCCGATCTGGTGTGTATTTCCAACAATGGATTCGATTTTTTCACAGGCCAGCTGCCTCCAATGAGAGAAAAATCGATACCTTTGTTTTCGACAGATTCAAGCGGCAATCACGGTCTTTGATGGTGGAGGATAGCTCCTAGGCACCAGTACGACCCAGGCACGCGCAACGACGCTCCTGTATTCTTGCAAACTCTCTCTAATTACACTGAGAGCTGCACGGGGGCGCTGCTGGGACGGCCGGAGCGGTCCGCAGCAGCGACGATGGCCTCGGCTCACCGCCGGCCTGGCTTCCTCAAAGCTTTGCCACGTGACTTGTCAGAGCCGCGCAGGTCGGGCGCAGGAGGCGCTGCCGGCAGCGGCGTCGTTGCGTTCAGCGTGGGCCGCTGCGGTAGTCGGCTTGGGCCTCTTGGGCCAGCAAGATCGTGCAAGAGACGTGTCTCATTCGGCAAATGCCTCGTGCCGACCGATCAAGTAGCGAGTTCAGCGCTGCACGATCCTCACGAACAAGTTGCTGATAATGAACATGCTTGTGTACGGACAAGAGCGAGCCCGCTGGGCAGCACACGCTCTGCGGCGATGGAGTCAGCCCGCGCCTGAGCTGCAATATAAGTCTGCAAGAGGTGGCACCTGGATTGAAACTGCCATCTGAACAGACACATGCACATCAAACCTTGTGCATGCTGCGAACGTGGCATACAACAAAGGACGCACATCCTTTTTCCTTCGCGATAGGGCACCGCACCAGCACGGCGGCATGGAAGCTTCGGGTGCTTGTCGTCGGACGACACGTGGCTCAATCTTCTGGAGCTCTGCATGCGGTGAGGACAGTGTCCTCGAATCAGCTGTGCTGCTTCACGATGCTCCGGATTTGCGGGTTTGCAGGACCTGTGAAGCTGCCGCATCGTCAGCATCGCTGGTATCGTCTCGTCTCCGTCACGGTGCTCCAGCGGTTCGCAGTCGCCTTCTTGATCATTGCACACCCCGGCGGACGACTCTAGGACGCAGGAAGACTCGAGATTCTTTGCTGCAGCCAGCTGATGTCTGCCATCACTTCCTGCATCAGTCAAGATCACAAGAATTGCTCGCATGCCTCGTGACGCCAGGACCCTGAGGACCCTGCCTGGCCTCTGTCGCGGAGGGATCGGGATCAGCAAAGTCTGCCAAGAGCCTCTCCAGGACCTGCAGAATGGCCTCAGGAGAGCCGGTTGAAGGGCTGAGCCAGAGGCTAAGCCTTTAAAGAGGCTGGCCTGGTATCGTGGGATCACTCCCGTCACCGCGGGGGCATAGGAGAGTGCCAGCAGCAACTTCCGAAGACAAACGGGGCACATGAAGCTGCTTCTGCCAGCAGAGTCGTGTGGTCCGTTTGACCCGTTCATCACGCAGTGGAAGTAGACGCAGTGAAGGATTCCAAACCTTGGCCACACCAAGGCACCACGTGGCTCGAAATTGCTGTGGTCATCCTTTCATTCTGTGTTGTTGGAGCCTCTTCCGCTCAGGAGCATGTGGCACGTCTCATGCACCATGGTCCGCATGCCTTGGGCACAACAGCGGGCATGAGGCTCCAGCGGCTCCAGCGCCCAAAGCTGCCAAGCAGCAGGCGCGGAGCCAAACCGCTTGCTGCTCGTGCGAGGCAGATTCCTTCACCTCGCAGAACGCAGGCGACGAACACGCAAACGTCCTGACGGGGTCTTCTGGCGATTCCTCTCATTGGGGGGGAAGGCCTGCGAAGCATGCAAACCATTGTAGAAGAACGGTGAGTGCCGCGCGAAGGAGAAAACACCTGAGAACTTGCACGCGAGGTGTGTCGGTGGTTCGTTTTCGTCGTGATATAGCATCAAGAAAACAAAAGCTCTCGTTCATGATCACCTGAACCATTGCTAACTGTCGTCCAAGGACTAAGGATGAGGTGGTTTGGCTGATACACATGCTAGGACATTGACATGCGGAAGTCAGAACTTGGCTGGGGGCTCTAGCGGCAAGACTTATTGATGTGATATGCGGACGGCTGGCGGGCACGGATCCGAACAATTCCAAACGAGTTGCCAACCCTCTCCATTGGCTTGGCCTGCCCAAAGACATAATTCCACTCCTCGCCCGGGTAAATGTCTTCCATGGTGATGCCCAAGCGACAGTACGCCTTTCGATGGGATCTTGTTTCAGAGTGGAGTGCGTCGAACAAGTCTGCGATCAAGTACTGCTCATGCATGAAGTCGTTCATCCTCTTGCGCATCTTTGTCAGAGACCTGCAGCAGCAATGGAGACAGCAACAGCAACGTGTCATTGCGCCGAGTTGGTATGTCATGTAAGACCTTTATACTTCAAAAACCCTGGGCGATCAATATTGCTTGCTTGGGTACAGGGGCTTGTCCAGCACATCCACTGTCATACCAACGAAGAAGGCCGTGCAATAGTCAATCAGGTAGCTCAAAAACTTTACCGCGATACCTTCACTGAAACTGTGGCCAATCGGAACCAGAAGTATCGTGTCAGTATGCTTTGTGGGTGTCATCGGCGGCTTCATGCGGCGGCTGTAAGTCGTGTAGGTCTGCCCCGTCTCCTTCTTCTCTGCCAGCCAATCTCCTCGCCGTGGCTTGCCCAGTGGCTTGAAGAATTCAAAGTTTGGAGTGCCTCAGTCTCGGCAATCGTAGGTCGTAGGGGGGTCTGCAACGGTGGCACAGCAGAATGCTCTTTCGGGCTCTGCGATAGGGTACCAAAGGAAAATCCAAAGTGCCAAGGCTGCCAAGGCACAAGCACAGCGTGTGATTGGATCCGCCTCCTCTTCAACTTTGCCTGCTGCCGAAATGCATTCCTGCAAGACTCAAGCTGACAATGAGCTGAGGATTGCAAGCCGGTTCAGCTGCAACGGTTGCAGCCGCGGCAGTCCTCGATGGATCTAAAGGTTGCAGTTCTTGCCGTCGAGGATTTGGGGGCCATGCCCTTGACAGTTTCTCAACAATACCATCCTTCGCTTGAACAAGACATAATTAGACTTGGCAAGGCGTTTCTCAGCGGCTGCGGAAGCTGTGGTGCTGTGTCAATGTCAAGTCACTGTGACATCGAAAACCTGCTAAGCCTCGCACACACTTGCAGCGGGCGATGCTGCTTGGCCACGTCTCAGAAGGCTCTGGCAGCAGGTGCAGCAGCTTTTTGCTAAGTCCAAACATCAACAGACAACGTGCATGTTGTATCCCATGCTGTTACAACCAGCCGGCTCACCATCAAAGGCTCCTTGCCAGTGCGAGGAGGAGGCAGCGAACGAGCCTCCGGATGTCAAGACCGCTCCGAGCAGCTTCCAGAAATTAGACCATTGCTTGAAGGAAGGAGAGCATGCCGTGCATGCAACCAAGTCGCTCGAGCAGTGTCCGATGAGAAGGTGCTGGTGCCCTACGAGCGGAAGCGGAGTAAGCAGGGACAGGAAAAGCGAGTTCCACCGGGGCGTGGACGCCCGCCAGTGCCATGCCCGGGAGTGTGACCGGCGCCGGATAGGTCGGATAGGGCCTTCTGCACGCTGCTTTAGGGCTAGCATGATGTAAAGCATGTTTCAGGGTGCAGCAGTGTTTGTGCAAACGCACCAGGACCAGCTTGAGTAACCTTCATGCACATCGCGCAGCATCCATTCAGAGAAAGCCACTGTTCAAGCAGAGTTGCTAGCTCAAGGAGTGGATGACTTGAGGACACAGACAGGCAACCAAACCCGCTTAGGATCCAGACCACACTCGGCATTGTTGACTCGACGGACCTTGCAGTGTGGAACGCTCTGCCGAGACTAGCTGCCCAGTGCCGGCCCCGAACTGGATGAAAGTGAGCTTCAGACACAAAGGGGTTCATGGCTCGTGCTACCTCCACGTAGCCACGGGTGCCTGCTACCTCAAGAACAAAACAACTGGTGCTGCTTGCAAGCTGTTCGAGGGCGATAATGCCAAGCACTGATCAAAAGCATCGGGCCTGAAAAGGGGTCTCGTTGCGCTGGTTCTGCATGTTTGGCGAAGCCTGCAAACCGTTGCACGGCCAAGGTGCAAGCTCAAGAAGTCAAGGCACTCCAAACCTGTCGTGTCAAGAGAGCGTGGACCACCGAGAGATGGCCACCTCCTGCAGCAAAATGAAGAGCCTCAACTTCTTGACGGAAAAACAATCCTTTGGAAATGTTGGAAGAAGCTGGGCGCAAGCTGTATTTCCGGAGCTGTCGACTGCCTGCACCCTCAAAGCAAGCCACTCGTGGCACAGTCGTCACAGACGCTAGAATGTGACAGAGGCAACTATGCCGCTATGAGCCGATTCTCAATCGCTCAGGCTCCAGCTGTGCTTTTGCACGCAGCAGACACTCAACGGTCCGTGCTTTTCCTGCATGTTCAGCAGGTGATGTCGCGGGCCGGCTCTATCTTTGCATCTTTGAGACCACCCGGGCCTTGCAGGGCTGCCAGGAGCAAAGGTAGCAAGCCGTCTCCTCGCCGAGCCTGGCAGATACTTCAGGCCACCTATTTGCGAGTCGCACCGCTTATGCTGCTAGCACCTCAAGGGAAGTGCCAGGATTCTGAGCCAAAGTCTCCACCACCTCGTCAGGTTACGTGTTAACACTCTGTTCCACTGCACCAATTCAAGTGGTATCACCGTTGCGGCCTCATGCCCATCCCCGAGGCTGGTCGCCAAATGCATTGGTGTTTCCTTCCGAGGCGCCGGGACAGCTGGCACTCGACGGGCTGAGGCCCCAACAAGGCCCCAGCACCCTGGTTGTCCGGGGTGTCCGTCTGTAGCCTCGGCTCTGTACGGGGGCACTCCCAGCGTCTGACGGAACTGCGGCCCAGTCGCGTTGGTCTGCCGGCCACTCCGACCAGCAGCTTCAGTGCTGCGACGCGGCCTGTCACGCGAGCACTTCCCTCCTAGGCTCCGATTTCCCGAATCCCGTCTCCGATCCATCGCCTCCCTGAACAGCTCGGTGCACAGGCGAGCGGCCTCAGGGCAACGCTTCCTTGTCAAGAAATCTCAGAAGCGAATTCTCAGCAGCGAACCCTCCTTGTTCAGCGTCAATGTGACAACCTGCAGCAACACACGTCTTTGCACCTCACAGAGATCCGTGACCAGGGCCTAAGGACCCGGGCTCGGAGCTGCATCATCACGTCCAGCCTACTTGGGAAGGTATCTGCAGGCTGACACCGCTCGCAACGAAGCAAGGCTTCGTAGCTGAGCCCTTTACACTCCCGTGCGACCGTAGAATGCAGCAAGGTGAACCGGCGTGTCCTCACAGCAAAGCTTCCAGTGATTCCAGGGAGGCTTCGTCACTCTGCAACACAAACCAGCGCTTGCATGCCAGGGCTGCCACGCCGTCTTTGTCAGGTGCATCTGGACTTGCTCCATACTGCATCAAAGTTCCAGCAAAATCCTCACTAAAACATGGTCTGCCGAGCGAGTTAGCCTGCGGTGGATGTGTAAGGCGTGAACGTAGTTCCCAGTTGCTGCAGAAGCGTGGAGCGGCCTGCACATGTTGTGTCGCAGCCTTCCTCCCGAGACCGATACGCATCAGAACAGGCCAAAGGAACGTCCGCTGGTCCCGATTGCGACCTTCCAGGGGCGCCTCGATGCGGTGGCCAATCTTGCAAGGTTCGGGCATGCACGGAGGGTGCAGGGCAGTGCAGGGCCGCGCAGGGTTGACATTGGTGTCTTGGGCGCCATGCGCGACACGACACTAGCCGTTCGCACAGAAAGCGCCGTCCACATCTTGCAGCCTCCAGATGACAGAGCCGTACATGTCTACTGCAAAGGTAGACGACACTTGCCAGCCATCCATCCACCTATCCATGTACATGCATTAGATACACGTATTTCAAGCGGTAAGACTTAATTCATATTATGAGTCATGAGTCCATATATGAAACACATGGATAGAACTCGTTTTGCTTTAGGTGTCGATGAGATTCGGATACCTTGGTGGGCCTTGCCTGCTTGCGGTGCATGTTTTCATCAACATGCTGATGTGATTCTGCTTACGGTCTTAGATACGGGAGGCCACGGATGCCCTGCAACCGGAAAGCCCGAGTCCAAAGAAGTCTAACAGCAGCGCGGGACGAGGACTTCAGTCTGAAGACTTAGCAGAACACGAGAGAGCCGATACTAAAAAGCCAGTGAAAGAAATGGCAACTGCCGAGAGGCCGGGGGAGTCAATTGAGGCTGCAGTTCGGCTGGCGTTCCCTAATCCAGGACCCAACGTAGAACCGCATGAAACTGCAGCTGGAATCATGCACACAGCAAGAAGCTCTGATAAGATTTGCAGCTCAAGGCCACATGCAAGGGGTTCAAAGAGGGATCCCAGTGCCTCCAATGATCCGCCTCTCTGTCCAAAAGAACGGAAGGCAGAGTCTTAAAGTCTTACAGGCCCAGAGTTGCTGCTTTTTAGACTTCCACTCAGCCAAGTCAATGCGTTCTGCCTCGCGTGCTTGTAAACAGGGTTGCAAGCCGATCTAGCTAAAGATAGTTCAAAGGCGAATCTGTCCCTGAAAACTTCCAGCCTCATGCAGCGGCGAGTTACCACCTGACCAGACACCAGCTGCCCGAAATGGTCCTTCAATCCTCACTCGCAGCTGTCTTAGCCCGAAGCAAATGTCGGCTGCATTGACCGAGGCTGCGTTCTGCAACAGAACCTGAGGTTTGCAACGGGGCCCTTCTCCTCCCGCTTCTGCTTCTCTACTTTGTTTCGTGGGCCTCGACCACGGCCTCCTGGCCCCAGGTGCAAGCGACATGGAGCGCTGTCTTCCCATTCCGGCTCGCTGCATCCACGGGCACCCGCGCCCTGCTACACAAAATCTGGCTCGCGTCGCTTGCTTCAGCGAATGTGCGTGTTCGTATGCCACATGGAAATCTCAATCAGATTGACAGTCTTCCGTTGCAACCCTCGATCACTTTCTGACATCTCTTCACTTTCTGCTTGGCCCGCGCCCACGCCTCAGCAGCTCCTGAGCCACTGCCACGTGGCCGTTCCGCGCAGCTTCGTGCAAGGGCAGGTCTCCCTCCTGACGGCCACAGCTCGCATAGCGGCGTAGCCTGGCCGTCTCCCTGCCTCTACCATCACCGTTTTCACTGCACATCACGAATGTGGCAGAAGCATCACCACAAGCACCATGATCTGCAAAGAGGTGAAATGTTGCACATGTCAGCAGTCCTTGTCGGCCGCTGCGGGCTGTGCACCCTGACCCATGAGTTGCTGCACCGCCTGAAAGCGCCGCGGTGCAATGCGCAGGGATGCGCAGAGCGCAGCTTTGCGGGGCTTCGGCCTCAAGCTGCCCTCGCCTCGCAGCCAAGTGAAGAGCCTCGGCTTGGCAAGAAAAGCAAAGGCCGAAAACCACGACAGTCGACCAAAAGGGCAGCTTGCCGTCTTGTCATCAGCGCCTTTCTCGTCAGCCGAAGCCCTGGCTCCATTTTGCCGTAATCGAACTCCGTGGAAAAATCTGAAACGCATGCTAAGTGCCATTCTAATCGGTTGCTTCACACATCTTGACTCGACACCCTGCGACTGCGCTTGGCGGATACAAGAACCCACTATCAGTCAGCTGTTGCTGCTCCTGAGCACGAAATTTGAAACTGCTGACAGCCTGCCCCTTGACAGAGGATTCAGGAGGGTCCGATTGACGATGTGCTTCACTCGGCCTGGCCTCTTGGTCAGGAGCAACTGAGCAATGCGAGTGTGCGCAACCTGGCCCATGTACCTGCTGCAGCTGGCACACTGCAAGAGCCAACCCCTAACTTTGACGTACCATTCACCTCGTCCGAAGCCTCAAAAACCAGTTCATGAACTGATAACGTGGAAGGACTCCGCCACAGCGCGCACGCAGCGAGGTGCAAAGGAGTGTCCCGGCTCCCATCTTTGGCCCCCAGAGCAGCCTCTGGTCAAGGCGGAGATTGGCACAGTGCTCTGTCAGCGGCGAGAACCTGAATCCTCAGCAACTTGTAATTGTAACCACTGTCAAGCTCGACTGGGACGGAGATCCTCAGAATCGAGGCCGCCTTGGCATCAAGAAGCAGCTGCGCCACTCCCGCACTGCCTGCGGCCGCCAGATGCTGGAGCTTCTCAATACTGCGAAACAAACTCACGGGCCTTCATAGGCGGCGATGTGGAGTGCCGTGTGCAAGCCAGCCAAGTCCTTGCCCGAAGCGAAACCCCACGGACAGAGCTGCTATGTAGATGCTCAGAGTCAGGCTGCATGCAATCGGCACGAATCACAGGCTTTATGCTTAAAGAGTTTTGTCTAACCAGCGACAGCCGATGAGAAGACACCTCCTCTAGGTTGTTGCGGCTGAGTCATATGGTTGTGAATCCTTTGCCGAAGACCCGTTGACGCCGCTGCGTGAAGGCCCTTCCGGCTCCTTGCTGTTGAGGCTACTCCTCTTCTTTGCCAGCGCGGCCTGCGCCAGCATTTGCTATTCCGCAAACGTAGTGTGCACAGGCTAGACCTTGAAATGCGCTGCAAGGTCAGCTGCGGCCGAGTCTTTCAAAACCAATGCACCATAGGGAGCTTCCGTCAACCTAGTGACACACCTGCTTGCTGCTTGGAATAGGCAGTTCAGCTATTCGACCACCAGGCCTTGGCTGAGCTGACCTCGTCGTTTCGCGCCGCCTGGTGCAGCTGCCTGCAAGGCTGGCAACACTCTCGGTAAGGGTAGAATGTGCGAGAAGACTGGACATGCAGTTCTTCCTGTCGACGTTGCCAGCAGCTGCTCCGCATGCACTTCCCATCTTCAAATACACAAGGTTACTACCACGACACATTCGGGTAGCTCTCAAGCTGTGTTTTGCTGCGTTTTGTATCCTTGATCATATGCGTCAGGCATTGTGCTCCGTAAAGGTTTCGAGACTCTGATGGCCGAGCTTTGCCTCTCTCTACCCTGAAGCCTGAGAGCCGAAGTCGGAAATGTACACTTTTCTGTGCATCCCGTCTTCTTCACTGGACGTTTCGGGCACGTGCTCACGAGATCCCTCGTTGCCTCTTGCCTCCACTTCCCCGTGAAAACATGGGAAACGAAACTGAAACCGTATCCCCAGCCTTGCCATTTAATTTCTGACGGATGGGTGTTGGCTAGAGCCTTTGCGGACATCAGGAAATCTTTAATTTGCCTCGTGGCATGAAAAAAGGCCGATTGCTTGCAGTGGGCTTTTCCGAAAGGGTGCTGGCTTGAGCGTCGCAACGAAAGGTCAGAGGCTGTAGCCTCGTCTGCATGGCCTACTTGTACAAGCACGGACGGCCAAAGGAATAAACGAATTTCCAGGCCTTGGGCACCCTAAAACCAAAGCCAAAAGGCAAACATATGTCCAGCAGTGGGCATCGGACGGCTGGGCTTGGCTCAAAAGACAGAGCAGGGAGAGTTGGCAAAGCTTCTCTTCTGCTCATGCTCAGACTCTCGCAGGAGTGAAACACCTCGGCGCCAGCAGAAGGGCACAGGTGATAGCTGGCGCAGACACAGATAGTGTAGATTCTCCCTTTTGGCCGCCTGCTCGTAGGCGTCAACTTTGGCGGATGCCCTGCCAAGGCCTGCTGACGGAACTCTCGCAAGGAATCTTCTCCTTTATAGTCTGGCTCCCTGCAGTGCGGCAGAGCGTCGGTGCAGGGACGGACACCCGCGGGCCCGGACCTGATCTCCACATTAAGAGTGACAGACAAGTAGTTTTGTCTATCACAATCCAACGACTCACACCGCCTGCGTGGGATGTGCACAAGGACTTCTCGGGCACACACTGAGCTGGAATTGGTGTGGACGCATTTCCTGCTCAAAAACATGAAATGCCTGTCTGCTAAATACACTATGTGCTGCGTGCCACACTGGCGAAGTTCGCAAACCGAAACATCTGTACGTAAACTGCAGCAGGGCGAAAACACTCGATTTTAATTGCTAGCAGGACAGCAGGCGCACCGAAGCATTTGTGAAGCGCTCGATTCCTCCGCCTTGTCAACGCAAGTTCCACCAACTACAAACTGTTTCAGTCAGAGTTTGGTGTTCCAAAACTGACTTGAATGTCTTGCTGCACTTGGTCGGTGGGGGAACTACACTACCACCCTGGTCGATGCCGAGCAGCCCATTCTGGGGCCGCCAGACACAATGATCTGGCAGGATGGTCAGACACGGACTAGACCATTCTGCGCTGAAGAGTTCTTGTCTGTGCCTTCGGCGGAGGCGCCAACGGGGCTACGTGGCCCAGCAGCTGCGATCTCTGGGCCTCTATTTCCTGGCGTTGATTTGCAATGACATGTCCCCAGGCCACCAGAAACAAGTTGCAATCAGAGCATCGACCAGCAACAAGCACGGATCGAAAGGCCTTCAACAAGTTGTTGAAACCGGAATTGCCTCCATGGGGCATTCACAAGTTGTGTACGCGTCTTGCCGACACTCCGCCCCACCGCTGCCAAGGAGCTCATGGGATGTTGTCCCTGATAGTGGCGTTCCACGAGGTTCTGGTCGCGAAAATATCGGACGGCCTTGTTGAGCCACAGAGGCCGTCAACGATACATGTGATTCTTCTGGGCCTTGGGATTTCCCAAGATTTCCGGCTGGTAGCCAGTGACAAGCAAACCCTGTGGACCGCATACGAGCACGTGTCTTACGAAGAGGATGGGGTTGTGAAATGCAGGAAGCCAGGCAAAGCAGTACAAACATGCGGCTACTGTCTAGAATGACATCACTCGACAGAACCCTACAAACAGCCTTGACTGCCGCGAGCTGCCACAACACCATCTCCAAAACTGCTACCATGCCCACAGTTCAACCACGCTCTGCAGCCACTGCCCGCACGACCACCACAAGCAACGCCGCCACCACTAGTCCACCAGTCTCCCATGTATTAGTCTCTTCCATCATTGCACAATTGTCAAAAATGTTGTTGTCCGGAAACAGTTTGACACTGTCAAGCAAGTATACAGTCCTGTCTTCCCTACCTAAACAAACAAAAACAACAGCACCAGACAGTCGTCCTGATGATGCGCAACATTGACTACAAGAGCTGCAAAGACCAGGGAATGCATCGAGACAACTTGGGTGATAATGTTGAGAAGCTGTTGCTGCAGCACAGTTCATCGTCTCTGGTCATACGGTCAGTGAGACATTGCTTTTGCGCGACATGGAAGCCTCTGAAGCTGTAATCATCGTAGGTTAAATCCAGCAACACTTCTGGCTCCGAGAGCTTCTGTGACTCTACGTCATCATCGTTCATTGTCCTTGCGAGCCTTTGTGGCAGCGTTGTGTGCTTCCGGGGGCCAACTGTCCACCCCCCGGCCCAGTAAGTATATGCAGTCGAGTTCTGCACCCCGGTGTGAGGTACTAGCCTTCGGTGGGCATCGTGGCCGTCGTCGTCCTCGTTTTCTTCCGTGCCGGGCAGACGAAAACCTGCAAGAGATCGTCGATGCAAAAAGCAGCTGCAGCAGCACCACCTGGCCACCACTAGGCAGGAGAAGGCATCAAAGACAAGCAGGTACACAATGAGCAGCGTCCACGAGCACGACCCAAACCAAACCAAACCAAGAGTTGCAGAGCGTAAGAAAACTGACAGGAAAGACTTGCTTCCAGTGTTTCTCCTGGCGGTCTGAGGAATGTCTTTGCAATTGAGACTGACAAGCTATGCTCGCACAAAACTCCAAAATCGAAGCCGCCGAGAGCGCAGCATCTTCTGCAGACCACCCCAAATACAGGACCTTGCCATGCCGCTCACCAGAACAAAAGAACAAGGCACTCATCGTGGCTATGGAGTGCCGAGAGGCAGCAAAAGCACAGCAAATAGAACCGGATCGATTCTGGCCCCACTCGCCTCGGGTCTGCATCATCGTCAGCTCGCATCACCGTCTATCACCATCTGTCACAAAAAAAACGGTCGCTGCGACTCGCATGCCAGAAGCCGAGAGTCAGTGAACCAGGGTTCGCTGCTGAGCGGCAACAGCCTCCCGGGACGAGCCCAGCAGAGTCGAAAGTGTGCTTCAACCTGAAAGGCCCCGCAGGACCTGTCGAACCAACGCCGCGCCCTCTAGAATCAGCTTCTTGGCATGGGCCAAAGCCTCGCAAGCTTCAAGGGATAGCAAACACAGGAAGCAGTCACCACCCGACCTGGCAATCTGATCAATGCTAGCAAGAAACGGACTCTGACTCGTGACCGTGCTGGTCATCCTGATCTGCAGGCGTGCCGTTGGAAGGCTGATGCATTGGGAACGTGCGATATCGACCTCGACGGTCTAAGCGTCGAACGAAAAACACCTTATGTGTCGACAGCTGCGGATTGGGCTTGCCATCCACATTTCTGGGAGTCACCTTGGCTGGCGTCAGCATAACTGGTGAGGCTGGGATGCACAACCAACTCGCCCCAGAGGCTTTGTACAGTGGAATTTCGACATGACTTCAGCCATCGGCATGACACATGGGTTTCTGGCTTCCAGTGACCAAGCTCGGCACGGTCGAGATAACCTGTGCAAAATTGCCGTGAGCGGCACTGTACCTGACGTACATAGTTTCAACCTCTGGCTCTTCACTGCATTTGCCAGCGTCACTCAGTTTCAGGCACACTCATATGGCTATGCAAAGCTGAATGCAGCTGAAGGACTGGTTTCCGCAAGACCTTAGAACAACAGACCCAACACTGCTGCGACTTTGTCTGCAGCTTTAGATCGCTATGTCCGTGCCATCGATCATTCAATTCTTGCTTGTCAGGGATCCCTGCCTTGCCTCCGCCGATTCGCAAAGTATGCACACGTTGTCCTTTAGAAATGCTTCGCGGCCCAGCGGCAAAAAAGGACTCATCTTTGGGAGCGGGGCATAGCCCGGTACATCCTGCGGCAGTGCGGCGGTCTCCCTTAGCATAGCGCAAGAAATGTCGACCCTTCGAGTCCTCGCAGCCTGGAGGTAACTCCTCATGGCCGCCGCTAGAGTCCTGGAAGGAGACCAGACGAGCCTTTTGGCCCCAAAAGCAGTCACGTCTAGAGGGTGATGTACTCACCAACGTACCAGCTTCAACAGGACCTGTGACCATGCAAAGGGTGCGGTCCTCGGACATTTCGCACCCACAAGCTTCTAGGAAAGACGTCATGACACCCCTTGCTACAGGTACGGCGCTGACAAAAAGCCCTCCAGCCTCACTGCGTTTTCTTTCATATGTTTTATTACTTCACGGGCTGTTGTGAAAACGTACCAATCTGGGCGCGCTGCGCCCTTGCATTCAGCTTGGCTTATGCCTATGCACCTGGTCTCTTCCACTCCCTCTAGATCTATGAAAACTTGACGACTGCGCACAGGCGCAAAGGTTGAACCGATAACTAGTGCGAGCCACGGCTCGGAAAATATGGGTCAGTGTCACGTCGCTACACTTCACGACAGCCGACAAGATCCTGCAAGTTCTCTTGTTTGGTCCACGCGAGGTTGAGTCCGCGAATCCACTCTGGCCCTAGTCTCAGCGCATGTTTCGCGCCGTGAGACCGGTGGCCGACACTATGCACAATGAGCCGAGCAATGCCTGCTTTGGCAACGCATGGTTTTTGCGTAGCTGGAGTAGCTCGATCTTGGATTGATCGCTTGAGTTGGGTTGGCACGCTGACTTGCACCAAGCCATTGAGATGCTCCAACTGTCAACTGTCAGTGGGCTCCTTCAGGCATGCGGCCTGTGATCGGCTCAGCGAAGGGCAAGCGGAGCTATACACTCACAGGCCTCCTCTTTGCACTTCTGCAACGCTTTCCACAGCTCCACAACCTAGCAGAAGGCGGAGGTGCAGTGAAATCCCGACTTGACGGCAGCGTGAGAGCCTCATGCTGCAGTCGCAAGCTGATTCGGCGTCTCTGCTCGCTGCCCCTGGACCTGGCAGTGAGGTGAGAGTAGGAGCGACAAGAAATGGGACGTCGAGTGAAAGAGAGCCAGTGAGTCAGCGAGCGAGCGAGGAGGCGCGGGCGGGAGGAGTATAGAGAGTGAGAGTGAGAATGAGAGTGAGCGTGAGCGCGTGGGTGAGACGGACAGGGAGGTGAGAGAGAGAGAGAGAGTGAGAATGAGAGGGAATGGAGAGGGAGTGGAATGGGAGTGAGAGTGAGGATGGGAAGTGAGCATTGCGTGGGGGGAGTGCAGATTGTGAGGGTGAGGACCACTACCAACATAACCCGCGGTCTTTTCACGACGCATGCGTCACACCTTCTCAGACTTTGCACTTCCTACTGTCAATCCTGTTCTCCTTCGTTGCAGCCTCTACTACACAGACACAGCTCCACACAGGATCGTTAACACCAAGGAGAGCCAAGCAAGCTTTCCACCATGATCGAAGGTTGCCGGCTGCTCTTAGAAGTAGCGCTCATCTGCTGATGCATGACGGGCGCTCCCTTTCGCACTGGTCTACTTCATTTCCCTCCAAGAATATATTACCCAGATGCATCAAGTGCATCCTCCAGAACGACGGGTTCTGCCGGAGGTCGCACAGGTTGCATACTGCATCTTGCAGCTTGACCATGGCCTGAGCAGGCTGAGCTTAGCGGCGGGCCAGCTGCTCCACTTCAGGCGGGCGTTCAGAGGATGTGTCCGCTGAGCACCAAGTCTGCCCGTCTCGAGTAGCTCTGTGGTGGCTGTCGCATCCCACTCAGGAGTCGTTGTTCATGTCTTGCCCAGTCAGGGCTTGGCCATGCTGGGGCCTCCTCTGTGCTCTGGCTATGGCTCGCCTGCCATCTTGCACACGCCGAGGCCTCTCCAGATCCTCCATGCCAAAGGTCGGGAGACGCAGGTAACGTGAGTTCAGGTCGCCAGTTGCACTACAACAGGTCTACCTTCCACATGCAAGCCCAAGATAAGCATCGAATAATCTCAAGACCGGGCCCCTGGCTCGTCGCCTGGCTCGGGCGCGGGTGCCTGCAAGGAATGGTCTGAGACGCGTGCTCCTCAGATTGAAGGCCCCTGCCCGCGATACCTTGTTGTGTGTGTCCGCAGCAGGCTCACAAGCCTCAGAGACGGCTGTTTGGAACAGGTTGCTTCGAACCCACTCAGATTTACGAACGTCGCCAGATCTTTTTGTCCGATTCTCCAATCGCGGGAACAGCGAGTCACTGTCACAGTGCGGGCACTGCAGCGCAACCGAAGTAGAAAACGAAAGCTCCATAGATCGGGGTGTGGAAGTGCAGAAACATAATGCCATTGCTATGTAGGCGACAACCTCGCCAGGCAAAGGGTCCCATGCAGGCGACTCATCATTTCGGGCATCAGCTCTGCGCAATTCCCGGCCTCACAGCCCTTAGCTCTGCCCATGAAGCAGGCATGGCATTTCAACACGCACCACAGCAGGGTGCGACCTTCCCGCTACCCGGCTTTCAGTCTTATCTGCCGTGGCTACGGGCTTGTTGGCTCAAGCGGTTCTGCGGTTGCAGGCCGAATCCTTTCAATGTTCCTTGCTGCAGCCTAAGCTCATCGAGGACCAAGCTGCAGCCCAGCACTGTGTCTGGAACAACATGCAGAAGAAGAAGTGCCGCTTGCCATTTGTGCGCCTGCTGCTCCACACGAGTGTTTTGGTTTGCATCGCCCTGGGGGCAGCCGCTCCCCTTTTGTGTGTGTTCTTCTTCCTTGTCTCCTCCTGGTCTTGAGGAACGAGCACCGTAACTGTTGCCTGCTGAACTTAAGCCTTTACGCGTTCATCTGGGGCACACGACACAACGCTAAGTGTGATTTCAGCTTGTTAACGGGGAGCAGGGGTGGCTTGCTGAAGCCGGCGTGAACATTATCGCCCACTCTGGGTTAGTTGGGTCAAATGGGCGCAAATCCCCGAACTCCCGCACGCGACACACCAGTCTCTGAAGTTGCACCGATCTGAATTCCCTCCTTACGACTCCTCGCTCTCCCCGGCGGGGCTCCTTCACGCAAGCCCGGAGGGACGCATCCCGTGCCACAGCGTCGCAGCGCACACTTCGCTGTGGCATCTCCGCAAGTAGCGCGAGGCCGTGCATCCACTGACCGCAGCGGGAAGCAGCACCTGAACAACATCGTTTACCCTGCAGGGCCCGGCTCTTGCGAACAACACACCACGAACATCCGCGAATATGACTCCACACACCTGCAAGCAGTGCCACTACATTGAGCATATACACACACGGAACAGCGAGAATTGAGAATTGCTTCCACAGCCACTGATGGCAGCGCTGTAACTGAGCTCGTCCTCGACAGGGTCACCATCTCGCAGTCACAGACCGAGTCGTAGCAGACCCCTCTCATGCAAGCACTGCAAGCCTGAGCTATGCCGACATCCAGCATGCAGTCGAGGAGTGCAGCGGCCTGGCGCCACTGGCTGCCCACGTCGCAGGCACTGATGGCCTGGGAAGCAGTCTTGTCAGCTGCCCGTCGCAGAACGGGTCACTAACATCCAGCTGAGGCGCGCTGTTGTATGTTATCTGGTTGGGTGCCACCTTCACTGCAACGTGGCAGTACAGGATCACGCAGTCACACCGGGAGAATCAAAAGACGAGCTGCCTTCAACGCGGGCATCGCTGAGAGCAGCTCGAGGGATGCTTGCCACTCCAGTGCTTTTTCACAGGCACTGATTGCTGAGCTGAAAGTGACTACGGACGGAAGGACCTGCCGCCGCACCAGGGCAGCATACTGGAGAAAGCAAAACTTCCAGGCTGGCAGGGGGGCGGAGAAGCCTAGTTCATACCGAAACCGAAGGTGTCCACATCATCCCCCATCCGAGAAATGGGCTTCTCCTCTAGATATTATGTCTCCCCGTCATAAGCCCCGAATCAGCTGATCAGCTCCCATGTTGGAGTCCAGCCCGGAAAAGCCGGCTCTCTGCATGCAGCCTTTGCTCGACGCATCATACTCAACAGGTCCAGTGCCAGAAGCCAGTCCTGGGCGGTGCTCAGCGAATCAAGCCATGAAGCCAACTACTGCTGTTGCAGGATCTGCTTCATGTGCTGAATCTAGTTCCCCCATATGTTCTCATGGCCCTCACAATAAGAACGTCTGTTCGGTGACGGAAGTGGCTCAGGTTGAACCGAGGAGAAAAAAAAGACTTCTTGGAATTGCCGCTGCAGGAGATTCACGGCGTCGCCAGGCACTTAAACTTACGCTCCGTGGCTATTTCTACCGTTTGGAGCCACTAAACTTCATGAAGCCAATGAAAACGACACGTGCTCGTCAGTCCTGTGCCTTCTCGGCAGCACTGATGGTGGCATTGAAACCTCTGAAAACTTACCCGGCACATCAGACGGACAGAGAGCTTCACTGAGAAAGGATACTTCGACAGCTACCACTGTCGAGACACTCACGGTGTTTGGGGTCACCTTCTTCTGCCCCATCCTCGTCCTAAGCTGACCCGGCTCCTTCGGGGACTCCAATCGCTCCCAATGCGTAACCAAGCATCAGCAAGGACAGAGCACGCTGCCATTCCCCCAAATTGGCGCAGGCTGAAATCGCAGCACTGTAGCTCACCACATCTGGGGACTTGGTCGCCTCATCCAGGGAAGGCACGAAGTGCCTTTGGCCAACGCCGGGCTCAGCTGGGCTCCTGCCTCACCCATGGACTTTAGCAACTGCAGCGCAGGCTTCCACTGGCGACCCCTCTCGCAAGCACTGATGGCACTGTTGTAGCTGACAACGTTTGGAGTAATCCTTACTGCCACGAGGAGACTCACAGGAAGTCAGTTGCTCTGTTCGCTCTGTTTCGAACTTCTTGCCGCTGAGCATCTGATCATTTATCATGAGTATGAGCACGTCGACTGCCAAGCGCCATTGCCCTCCTTGCGCAGCCGCGCTTATCATCGAGGCGTAGCTAACCACATCCTGGAAGACCTAGCAGTGGGCGCACAGACTTCGAACCATTAGGCAAAAGTCTGGCAGCCGTGCCTCGTTTGCGGCCATTGTAGCGAAGAGCTGCAGAGCCTGCTCCCACTCACCGCCTTTCCCGCACGCGCTGATGGCTGAGCTGAAGGCGATCACGTTCGGAATGACCTGCCTCCAACAGCACACTCCAGACACACAGGACCGACACCATTGGCTGTTGACTTTGTGTACTTTGCTCGCAGCAATCCACCTTGGCCGCATCTCTGCAAAGAGGCCGAGGGCAACTAGCCACTCAGAGGCCTTCTCACAGGCACCTCGCAGGCGAAAAACAGCAGCCCGTGAAGCAGCACCAACGATCGGTACAAGCGGAACCTGCCGGGTTATCTTGGCAGCAGAGGAGCTCACACTCGAGCAGTAGCTCACCAAGTTGGGAAGCACCTGATCAAGACGACATGCTGCAACCAAGAAACTTGACTGCCGGTGTAGCATTTCGGCACACTGACACTTCAGCATCACGCATGCGAGCCGATGTGCCTCATGCCTAACCATGGCGTGCAGCGTATCAAGAGCCATCATCCATTGTGCCGCTTTCTCGCAGGCGCTGATAGCACTGCTGAAGTGGAAAATGTTGGTCTCAACCTGTCACGCAGCTCCGCCCACCGCACTTGAGGATGCTGCAGCAAATGCTTGGACAAGCATTCAATTTAGCAGCAATCTGCCATTAGCCTCGTCAGTGCGCATCCGTCGAAGGAGTTTGCGCGACTCCTCACTGGACCATTCGGTCTACTGATGTCTACTGCACCCTGGGAAGAGTTTGGACCACACTCCACGATTCGAAGGCGAGACTTCAGCGGGGTTCCTCTGCCTTTGCAATACGCGCTAGGGCAGCAAGAGCCTGTGTGGCAGCCCGTGGCTGGGCCCGCCAATGCCTTGGCACGGGGCCTGGAACAGCAAGATGCAGTTTCAAGCCAATTGCATGGACACATATGCTTCTTTTCTGGAGTTCTTGGCTTGCCTCCTGCCAGAATTCTCTCCACCGTCTGAAGCGTGTCGGGCATGGGTTGCAAAGGGAGAAGGTGTGAGCGGTGTGTGCACGCAGTACTGAAGTCGAATTCTGCTAAGTTTTGAGCCTTGAGCGACAGTGATTCGATCAGCGACAAAGCGGGAGAACGAGAAGGAGCTGCTCTCAGTCTCGCCCCGCCGGAAAGATTCAGGATCAGGCGGCCAAGCGAGCTTTCAAACCTCGAACCTGGCAGCTCAGAGCCTTCCCGCCGGAAAACATCACACGACAAAGACGAAGTGACGCTGCCTCCCCACGCATGCGCACACTATGACGCTGCAGGTCTTGACACCGTCGTGAAGCTGTTGCTAGCTCCTGTCCGCTCGTGATGGGCCGACATCTGCCCCGTGGGTGCAAAGACGGCGACTGCGACGGCTTTTTCGGCCGGAGACCCGACCGGAGTCCTCTTCTTTCACTTTGAGCTGCGCCTCGGTAGAGCGGAGGGCTCCTCTCGCCTGCAAAGCAAGAAGCTAAAGCTAAAGAACGCCGAAATTGTGACCTGCAAAATGATGAATGCTCGTGTGTTGCGCATGTCGTCCTTCTGCTGCACCGACTTCTGCTCGTCGCGGTCCCGCACGAGGCCCTGTTCTGCAGCACTGCGCACTGCACTGCCGTGCTCTCGGTGGGGAATGTGGCCCTGCGGCCCTGCGGGCCGAGCGGCCTCCAGCTGCGCCTCGAGAGCCCGCCGCTCCTCGAGGCGCTCGGCGAGCAAGCGCTGCTGGCAAAGAACCTGCGAAGCGGCGAAGCGCATCGCGCGGCGATGCATGCGATACCGAGAAAATCTGCTGCCACAAATAAAGGATAACAAAGGCAGAGTGAAAACCTGCTCGAGCCTGCTCCTGCAACCGGTCCGTCTGCTTTCCAAGGACACACACCCTGCAGACAAGGGCTCCCTCTGCTCAGGACACTTCTGTTCAAAGGGAACAGAGGAACACGAAAACATCCACTTTCTTTCAACTGTGGTACACGTCTCGATGTTGAAACCTCTACTACCTCTGAAAGGACCTGCGACGGGAGAACTCCTCCACCCGTCGATACAGTAGGCCTCTCGTCCGCCAGTGTAGACTTGTGCGGCTCCTCTTGGCACTCGCCAAGCTCGAGGCTAACGAGAAAGCGCCGTTGTTTTTGTCCTTCTCCTCGCTGGGACCAAAGGCCTCTTCCACCTCCAAACGTCCGTGGAAAGTCGTCAGGTTCTGCTGCAATCACTGAACTGCTCTAAGCCCGTTGCTCCTGGCAGCACTGCCAAGAGCTCCTGGAAACATCTTAAGATCTGCTGGCTTCCCGCCGTCCCCCTGCAACAAGGCTTCAAAGTCTCCTCCAGTCGCTGCTCCCGATCACGCAGCTCTCGGCGGCTCTCTTCAGCTGCCTCTGGAAGGGTTCAGAAGCCCTGAAGGCTTTACAGTCTGAAGGGGTCGTTGGCTCCTTGGCCCAACTTTCGGCGGCACAGCGCAGCTGCTGCAACTCTTCCCCGGACGACCTCTGACACAGAGCAGCTCCACTCTGCAAAGAAGAAATTGACATGCTGTTCGGTTGCATCACAGGGGGCCGGACTCGAGGTCATCTCTAGAGACCTCCAACTTGAAGCGCAAGGCGTCGACCTTCAATAGGGCGGTTTCCAGTTCTTGCCGAGGCACGCTCGTGACTCACACGTACACAGACACGCACTCGTTGCCTCTCTCCTTCTCTCCCTCTTACCAGGTCACCGCAAAGGTGGCTGAGTTCTGCGCTGCAGCATCGAGAGCCTCCAACTGGTTCAACGCCTTGCATTCGTCATTTTCCGGGGATGCCCGCCAGTCAGGAGAACTTGCTTTTGCAATGATCGTCCCTGGCATAGAAGATTCCTCGTCTTTGAATGCCAAGAGCAGTCTCAGGACATTCGCATTGTAATGATTCTCCACGTTTTGTCTTGGAACCCTGATTTTCATGGTGTACGAGCTTTTTGGAAGCTCACCTGCTCGCATCGGACAGGAGTCACCAAAGCAGCAAGATTGCACAGACTTTTGAGTCGATTTGAGGCTGACGTCGTCTTCTTTTTTTTGGCCGCTACTTCGCTTGCACACACCACGACGAGTCGCACGAAGAAAGGAGAGACGCGCGCGCGCCTCTTCGGATTCCTGCTCGAGCCGCCGCTCCTCGCAGCAGGACAGCGCGATGAGGCAGCGAAAAGAGCAAGGGCAACGAGTCAACGAGTGCTCGTTTCCGCTCTCCTCGGCAGTGAAATCATCCTCTTCCTGTGTTGGAACTTGCAACCGCTGCAACTGCAACTCCCACCGGTCGAAGCCTGGCTGGATGCAGCTGTCTGTGACTCTGGAGACGGCTCCTGGCAGATTGGCACAGATTCGCAGCATCTCCTTCTCTGGCAGGGGTTCCTTCCGAGCAAGCTCGGGAGGCAATGGAGGCAGCGGTGGTGGCGGACCTGAATTGACATGACACGTGCACTGGCGAGAACATTGCTCCTCAGAGCCTTGCATCGCTGGGAGTCGCGCCGAAACGACCTTGAATTGCCGAAAGCACCAGATCCCTGGCACAATAGTCCACAAAATCTGTCGTCCCGTTGAGCCCTTAAGTGGCATAAAAGTGTCGCCAGGCCCAATTGCATTCTGCGAGCTGCATTTTTCCAAATGCAAGAACTTTGCTACCGTGCCCCTGCCATACTATTGAGATTGCCACACGAACTAGCCGAAAAAGCCTCTCGCACGATTCGGCTGTTTCAACTCTGAAGATGCTACCCACCGGCTGGGTCTGAATGATGCTGCGCGAGCTATTGGAGCTATTGCTGCCCTGACACGTGCCTCTTTGATGCTTAAGATTGGTGAGGAAACCCAAGTCGATATGCAATCAACTGACACGTCAACGTCAATGACAGGCAACCATGACTGCAACGATCGCACAACTGCCAGACCCATGACTCGAAGATACTCGAAGGCAATTTCCCGCCAGCGGTACGGCCCCTGGCTGGGCAGATGTTCCATCAGCTTGGCGGCGTCACCTTGCTGTGATTCTCTGGCCTTGAGCACCCAGCCACTGCAACGGCTCGGCGCGTAAGCTGGGCCTTGGACTGCTTTGGCCCGCCTTCTCTGTTTCGTGCCCTTTGCCTCCCAGCGCCGGCCACGTTCAACCCACAATACATAACTTTACACAACTTCGATGTGAAACACGGTGCTCAAACTCTTGGGCCTTCAGGCCGCCACAACCTCGATCGAGTGACCAAAAACAGGTGGGCCTAACGCCTGCACACATACTGCCGCTTTGTGGCGGGGCATCGCCATCCTGGCCAGGATCACGAAAAATCAGTGGGCAGACATGGGATTGAAGAGCCAATTGTTTGAGATGTCCCGCCTGGGCCACCTGGGTGAAGCGCTCCCGCACACCGATGGCAGATGCGGGACGCTGGCAGACTGGAGATGCCGTTGCACGGCTCGGAAAGGCTGAAAGTGGCCTTTTCCTTGGGAGGTTGCTCGCTTTGCTTGCTCCAGAGTTCGAGGGCGCGAGGGGTGTCTGCAGGGGCGATGAATGGAAATGAGAGCTTGCAGCGGCAATCGATGCCGCCAGCACCTCCTGCGACTGCGAGTGGGAGAAGCAGGCTGCGGCAGACGCCGACTTCGGGGCATCCGTTGTAGGCGCAGGGGCGGCCAAAGGGACTCCGTGTGAGCCGTCGACTTCGCTTCCAGCTTGGCCTTGGCCCTGGAGCTTGCTGACTTCGGCCAGCCGCTCCCGCGCCTCACGGTGACGCTGCAGCAATGAGAGTCTCGAAGCATTTTGCTCCTGTGACTCTACCATGGGGTCCTATCACACTCCTTCTAAGTTTACCCCTAAGTTTGCGAACTTTGGGCCGGCTATCCAAGACCGTCAGCACACATCAGGGTAGATTTGGTTGGGCTGGAGAGATATCCTTGCACGGAGCCAAGACGATGGTACTGCGAAAGCGGACAGAATTCTGACTACCTGCATGTGGCTAAAGCTTGGAACGAAAGAAGCACATGCAGCCATGGATCGCATATCTTTTGCCACTTTGTGCAAACCTCTCAGCGCAACTTTGGGTTGACGACAGTGTGATCGAAAACGTGTCCGAGCGAGTGTTGCAGTGCTGTCATGGTGCTCCGTGCACTTTGGTTCCATTCCTTTTGCCTGTCGCGACACTTCCCTCCAGGATCAGGCTTCCCTAACTTCTTGCGAAATCTGATAAGAGGCAACAGCACGAAACATCTGATCGGGCACCGGAGATTCACAGCAGCAACTGACTCTCCAGGAGCTGTCGTCTTCGCAAACGCTCGTGAAACCGCGTGTGTGGCTTTTGCCAGCAAGGGGCCTCACAGCTCACTTTGCATGCTTGTGTCACACAAGGCTGAGCACGTCAAGGCTGAGCAACACGTCGCTGCCAAGATCAACACAATCTGAGAGGAATGTAGCGAAGTGTCTACGTTCAGAACATGGCTTGGTCCAGCCGAGAATTGGAGCGACGGAAGGAGATTTCGAGCCGCCGGCTCTGAAGTGCTGCATCCAACGCTTAGGATTTCGTGAGTGGAGCTCAGAGCTCACCGAAGACCACCTGCGCGGAGATCCTGACTGGCCAGAGGACGAGGCCGAGGCCCGGGCCCGTCAGCCGGCTGCCGGGGTTTCTACAAGACCCGTGGCTGAGACAGTGGCAACCTCCGCATGCCGAAGCTTCTGCTCCTCTCAGGCAGCAAGCTCGCTGTAGACAAAATCTCCTAATTGTTCAGTTGCCTCTGTGAGCCTCTGCACTATTTTGCACGGCTTCTGATAGCTTAGCTTCAGTGAGTCGTCAGTCAATCCTGCGTTTGAGAATGCAATTGCCCTGAGCGTCCGGTCGCTGGCTCGCAGGGGATTTCAAGTCGCCTTCTTGGCTTTGTGCCTCTAGTCTTGGCTGGACCTCTCTAGCTTCCTGATGCGACGCATACAATGCTTTGTTGACCCGTCACTTGTCCTGCTGCTCGAGCTTCGCATTAAGCCTCCGGACCATGTCCTCCAATCCGTTCATGCGCCTCGGTGATAAGACAACTTCAGCTCGGCCGCTGATGTTTCCACTTCAATGTAACACTTGAACACTTGTGCTACATGATAGACCGTTCAGGCCATCACTCCCGCATGCTGTCATTTTCCTCCATCAGCTTGCGAGACCTTCAGAAAAGGTCCCACCAAAAGCGGTGTGCATCAAAGTATGCATGCGGAGCTGAATCTTCGCCCGAAGACATGGCTGCAGGCATCCGAGACTCTCGCTTGTTCTTGTAGAACTCACAGTCGACAGCCAAGTGCGCTGGAGACACTGCTGCCTCTTCCTCCTGCTACAAAAATAACATGCTTCGTTGGAAGCTTCTGGACATGCAACGAGACATGCCAAGCTCAGCACGACAGGATGGCCGCTCTAGCACCACACAAAGTTGCTACAATTTCGTTTGTTCGACATTCCGTCCTCTGTGGGGTTCAGGATGGGAAGCGGGCTTCTGTTGTCGGGACTGACCACATTGCTGTCCTGACTCCGGGAGCGGAATGAGTTCCCCATGCCATAGGACCAGAGAATCACACTCAGCTTTCCACATGCGGCTGCGGCGTGACGGGAGGTGGGCCTACAGGGACACAAATGGCACTCTGCATCCGAGTGGGACCTTCGCCTGGCCTCCTGGGAGCTCTCCGTTCATCTGTGCCATGGCCTGCACTCTGCGCTCACAGCTCTGCCCAGCTCTCCTTCGAAACGCCTTGTCAAAGGACACTGTCGCTCTTTTTCTGCCATTCTGCCTGATATCTGCGACCCAGCTGGCCGTGGAAAACAGGATGGTATCACGAGAGAGATAAAGTTGACTGCCGAGACGGGACGTCGGCAACTTTACTTGGCTTGGGTAAAGCACCATGCATGGGAGCAAGAGTAGCATTTCCTGGCGCCTGAGCAGGCGGCCTTGTTCACGAGTCCTGCTTCGAACGCTGGGCATCATGCTATGGCACCCAGAAGGAAGGATGAGTCTGAGGGCTCGGGGCTCAGCGCCAAGAGATGTGTAAGCACACTTGCAAAACTTGCGGATGCGTCGCTGTCGTTCAGGTCCATCAGGTCAAAACTTGGTTCTGGCAGAAGCCTACACTGCTCCCGCAAAGTCTACAAGCAAAGACGGCCATCTGCTGGACAAACCACAAGACGACTCCAAAAGAACAATCAAGACAAAGAGCACCAAAAGCTGCACCGGCCAACAAATATTTCTGCAGGTGTTGCACAGTGTGACCATGTGCTGCATCGCTACACTGATTGCACTCTGACAGGAACTATCCGAGCATGCTAGAACGCCCACGATTCAAGCGAACCGCCTTCTGTGGGCACAGGAGCTTCGATGGTCTCCTTGGAAAATTCTGTGGCTGCCTCCTGCAGGGCTGCCACTGTTTGAGTCTCGCTCGGCTCTTTGCCGCTTTCAACCACCACGAGAAGCTGAGCGTCCTGTGTCGACTTGGACAGGTTTGACCTGATCAATGTCTTCTCCTTTGGAGATTCTCTAGCAAGTTCAAACTCCCTTGCCTTCTGCTCAGCCCTCTCGCGACGGATCTCTTTGCTAACCACCATGTAACAGCCACCCATCCACCACCAAACCACGAACACAGCGAGTATCATCACAAACAAAGCCGTTGCCATGACGCCTCCCACGACGCTCCGGTCATAGAGCAGAGAAAGCGCGAAGCAAAGGCTTGGAAGAGCAATGAAAGTAGTGGGCACATAGATAACGGGAAACATTCGCCAGCAGGATGCATAGAAGCCAAGCATGCAAGCTGCTTGCACAGGTAGTGCACGTATAAATGGCACGGGGAGCCACAAAAGAAAACCACTGATGTTGAAGAACAGATGGCACAAAGCAATCTGCAAGGTATCTGGCTTAAGTAGAGCCAGTGCCGCGATGAGGGACGTGCATGTAGTTCCGAGATTTGCACCGATGGTTATGGGCAGCATTTTCTGCATCGGCAAGACCTGCATGGCACAGAGAGGGATTAAAGTAGAGGTTGTCACGCTGCTCGATTGTACGACAGCAGTGACAGTAAATCCGAGGACCACAGCAAGATAGTCGTTCGTCTGCGTAGCACGTCTTATCATCTTCGTGGCCCAGCCAGTCAGGAGTGCATTTAGCACTGCGACAAGGCAGAGCAGTGACCCTGCAACGAGCACGAGGGAAAGAAGGAGCCCCACGGTACCTCCAACAACATCACCGACACGGGCGAACATTCCAGAATCAAGGGTACGAGCACCCTCAATCGAGATCGCATAGAACTTGCCAGCTTCCAAGTAACAGTCCGACGATTGCGCGCAGCCATCTGGGAAGCTCAATACATGACTGCACTTTGTCAGAGAGCCAAAGCCGTCATGGTCTAATTTCCTCCAAGCCTTCTGCATAGAAGCCGACACACAGAAATACTCGTCGCAGTTCAGCCACGCTGAGCACAGGCTGGTGTTCACTGCGGCAGGCACTTCTCTCGGTGCTGGCGATCCCAAAGAAACGGCTTTCATTACGTCTTTGTTTGGATCCAACAAATTGTCTGTCAGCGGAGCCACGATCGACTTCGTCGGGGAGCTAAAGGAGACATCAAGTGCCCCTGTGCCCAATGCAGCTTCCGTGACTGCCTTCGAGACAAGGTACAACGGTCCACCATCGCCAGTAATGGATGCCACGATTATCTCCGTCGGTAGCAGAGCAAGAACTGTAAGCAAGTTGAACATTTCATGCACCGTGGCTCCTGCAAAGGCATGCTCCAGCTCAGTCGGACTAGCAGCGTGCACAATGGACACGATTGTGTTGGTTATCGATGTTCCTACGTTCGCACCCATGACCACTGGAATGGCCGCACGTACAGATATCTGGCCGGCCCCAACAAGGCCTACAAGGATGGAGGTGCTTGTCGACGAGGATTGCACAAGAGCAGTGGCCATGACGCCAATCACAAGGCCCTTTACCGGATTTCCTGCAGATGCAAAGAGTGCAGCAACTCCTTTGCCACCCAAGACCACCAACCCTCTTCCCATCAGGTCAAGTCCCACCAGAAAGAAATACAAGGCGACCAGCACTGCAGTGATGCGTGAGATGAGTAACTGGATCGCCTGACCTGTGCATGCCGCGGCTTTGGACTCTGAAGACAAGGCCACGACTGCAAGCATGCTCAAGCGACTACAAGTCCGAGATGAACACAAAAAAGCCGCCGAAGAAAGACTTGGCTGCAGAAAGGGCTGCGGACTGGAGCGCTGCTGTCTTTCGGCTGCAGGTCTTTCCAGCCAGTGCTTTGGAATTGGCTGCTGATGTCTTCCGGGTAAGGGTCCTTGAAGTTTAAAGCTTCTAATGTGGATTTTCGGGGTTTGATTTCCCACAGGCCGGGAGGGGAGAGCACGGGCAATGTATGTATATATATATATACATACATACATACATGTAGCACTTTTCTCATTGGTAGATGGACAGATGGACAGACAGACAGATAGGTAGATAGGTAGATAGGTAGATAGGTAGACAGATAGATAGATAGATAGATAGATAGCTGGACAGATAGCCAAACAGATAACTGAAGGCATGCAAGCAGGAGCGCAGGTATGTATGTAGGTATGCAAGTAGATGGTAGATAAAGAGGCCTGCGTGCATAAACAGCCATGTACACGGATGGATGGATGGATGGATGGATGGATGGATGGATGGATGGATGGATGGATGGATGGATGGATGGATGGATGGATGGATGGATGGATGGATGGATGGATGGAAACTGTATGTATGCACGTAGGTACGCACGTACGCATGTGTGTATGTGAACCTACACACACCACACAACAAACAGATAGACGGACAGATAGACGATAGCAGATACACAGATCGATATGGGAAGTAATCCAGAGTTGTTTAATTGATATCAGGAGCTAGAGTCATTTGTATTCACAAAGGTATCCAGACTGTGACTGTTGTGTGCACTACGCTTGTTGGGATGTTGTTCTTCACGTTGCCCATTTTACTATCAATACGACTGATATGAGTATCTTCACCATAATTCTGCTTTCTGTTTGTTAAGTTCAGACTCACTGGCCGAAAGTGCCACCACGCCTCTGGCTCCATGGCGATGGACAATGTTAACTGTCCCTCCTGGCAGCCACTTTGGGATGACATGGCATATGACTGTGCTGCAACGTTTTCTGGATGTGTGCTACATGTGGACCCGTACTACATCTCATATTTGAGCAGACAACTCGATTCGTGTTGAGCAGCCTTTGTATGACTCAGGAGAGCCCGCCTGGCTGTGCAGGAACGACATCACAATCATGAAGCGTGAAAAATTGACGAACCTGAGGGCGCAGACAGATGTTAGACATCGCAAATCGCGGTGGTCCACTGCCCAGGCATTCTAACCCGTCTTGCATCCACCTTTAAGCACTACGCTACTGTACGCAAGAGGTAAGGAAATACCACATGAGTTTGAAACGCGGCGAAGGCACTCATCCAGCTCAATCAAGCCATCGCCATTGACATCGAAGATCTGTGAGAAACGCTTGCACCTGGCAACAAGCTAAGGCTTCTAGAAATCTAGAACTGCAACGCAGTCAGGGCAGAAGCGAACCGCAAATACTCTGAACTTTACCTCAGCATCTAGCTGCACCCCGCAAGCCAAGGGGGAAAGGCTACTGCGCCGCGCCGCCCGCTAATTTGCATGAGAACATGCTCCGTGGCCGCACCCTCTCCCCCGTAGACTCCTGACACAAGTGAATAAGGAACTACTAAGACTAAGTCAAAATATTATGTTTTGCAAGCGGCGTTGCAACCGCCATCTGTATGCTCGATATATGCCCGATACTAGGCCCCGTAGCTTGAAACTTGCGACTCGGGGATATGCCATGGCCTTATTATGGTAAGCAGAAGGTGCAACTCCCGTCCCACATGCACCACACGATCGACCCAGTTCTGGGAGCCGAGCTGATCCAGATCCAGCGCCATGCCTGAAATCTGTGCAAACGAAAGCAGAAGCACGCACAACACAGGCCTTGAAATGTTCTCGGCCGGAACCTACAAACTGATCGAAAGCCAAGATGCTGTGAGCATCGGCCATGCTGCGCACCTGAGCCGACGCATCGCAGAGCCAAGACGCAGCCCGGTCTCTCAGGTGCCCGAACCATCGGAAAAAGCTCCTCGGGCTCCAGGGTGCCGTTCTTGTCCTGCCATCAGCTGAGCGACGTGGGCGTCTGTTGCATTGCATTCGAAGCTTGCAACTCGTCTTTTCAAGCGTGGATTCAACTTCCCTGTCGTCTCCGCATGCATGTTCTGACTGCCGCTCCGCTCGTGCCTTGTCCAAGTCCTGGAAGAAGGTGACACACTCGGTCACGAAGCGCTCGCCTGAGTCGCTCTAGCTGTACGGCTGTCGGCTTACTCGATTCCGGCTCCGAATTCTGTCTGACGCCGATTCTGCGGGCTAATCAGCAACCTTCGGAATCGGCTTCGGGCTCAACAAGTCGTTTCGGAGCCACTGTGGTAGGAACGGGACCACCTGCACAAATAGCAAAACATGCTGAGCAAAGATTTGAGGCCTATGACACAGCACCTGCTGCGGCAACGCGTGTGTCTATTTTCCATGCAGCTGTACCAGTTCAGCAGGCAGTCTCGGGCATGCATCATTGGGTGCAAAGCATTCGGAACATGCTTCTCCGCGAAATCGAACGAAGCCCAAATTTCCGAGTCTCGCTCGACTTCAACCAGCATGTATGCTTCATTGCTGAACCGTTACTTCATTTAAAGAGGTGTGCTGTCTGGTGTAGATAGCTCAGTCGCTCAATCTAGCTACAGCCTAACGTGTCCTACCTGCGGTGACGTCGGGAGCATCCCCGGGCCTGCGCTTAAGTTGCAGCCAAGTTCTGGTGAAAGCTTCCAAATTCTAGCCTTGCGCGCAAGACCCTTGTCTGCACAGGAAGGAGCTCCCCCCACCAGTCGAGAACCGCCACATCAGGCGAGCCTGAGCATACCAACATGCCCTACTAGAAAAGGCACTGCAAAGCAGCCCACCCCAATGGGTCCTCGCGGTCAATCAAACAGGAGGCGGCGGTCGCAGAGCACTATCCTGCTTTCTGCGAAAGATGTGAACTTAACTGATATGTAGAAAGAACAAAGTGCGGAATTCTGAACTGGACTCGAACATCTGCCTGGAGCATCTTGTTCAGCTGCCCCGCAACATCTAGGCAGCTCGACATCTCAGCACGGAAATCTGACCTGGTCCACTTGTCAAACCGAAGCATGTCGGTACACCCAGAGAAGCCAGACTCCAGGCAGCTGGCTCTGATGTCTTTTGTAGAATGAAAGTACGAAGCGTATGCAAGGTCCTGCAGGCTTCAAGGGTGTTTGAACAGAGACTTCTCCGCCGTGTTGCTTCTCTGCTGTGTCTTAGGCACAGACTGCCCGAATTGTCGAATCTTGGTCTCGTATCCCTGCATTCCGCGGCGTGGGGCAAAGCCGTGGGAACTGATTCCATGCCAAATGTCTGGGTTGCGAGCCTCAAGGTTTGCGGCAGTCTCGTCATCTTGCAACTGCTGGCCTTGCTGACTGACGGGCTGCCAAGGCATTCAAGGGCAGGCGACAACTCTGCCAAGCTCAGCACGTTTGCTGTCGTATCTAAGCCGAATGAAGTTGACCTGATGGTGCCACATTGCTTTGCGACGTCAAAATTTCTCCAGGAGCCCATGGCCTGTTGTCGCAGGGCGACAGATCGCTCCTTGTGCTCAGGCCATCGTCTTTGCTGGTGCTGTACTCCGAATACTCCAAGCACTACGGTGAGAAGAGCCGGCTTGTGATTGGCTTTCGTACGTTAGCGGTCAGTTTCTTGTGTGGACCAGAACGACTCTTGGAGATGTCAACCAGCCAGGATGTGTGAGCTGTTGGCACGCCAACAACAACGACGGGAGCTTCGATGCTGCATGCACTTGGAGACACACCAACTCCAGATGAAACGGTCCTCGAGGTTCCTCTTCGACTCTTCTAGCTTCTGCAATTCCAGGGCGCCTTTTTCACTAATTCCGTCTAGACTGCGTCTGAACTGCTCAAAGAGGCCTTGTGCTTTCATATCCTCGATCTTGTCGTACCTCTCGGCCATCTCCTGATCGAGCTACGCAGGCCAAAGAGGCAGGATGGCTAAGACGGCTAAGAACATTCGCAGAGTCGACATTCACAAGACCCAGTGACTGGCACCGCAAACCTTCTCGTACTGCTTCATCTTTTCCTCAACCTGCGCAAGTTGTCTGCGCATCTTTGTCCATCAACTCTGTGATCAGCACTGGAATGTTCAGGCTGGACCTGATGTCCGCGAGTGCGGTGCCTGAGACAGCTCTAGGGAGATCTTGACGTCGAGGCTCTCGATCTTCTCGAGTTCTCCTTCACCTGGGCATTTCCGGTCCCAGACGCGACGCGGCATCCTCTCTCTCTCGCTCTCTGGCTCTCTCGCATATCAACCTCTTCTCGGAGCCCTAGCGTTTGGCGAGCTCCCCCTCCAGGCGGCTCCTGCGAGGCAGATGCAGAACTGCAGCATGCGCTCACACAACCAGAACATACACTCGAAGGCCCTTCCAAAAAAAAATCACCAAACTCTATTGTCAATAAAATCTCAAGAGAAATCTGTCGCAAGATCCCCAACCGCACAAGGCCCTGGCTGTGTCGTTTCCGAGTTCTGCAGCTGTCGGCTTTTGAAATCCAACCTTGGCAAACAAACTCGGCTCTGCGTGTCCTGTGCTGTCCGATCCTAGAGAAAGAACTCAAGATGCTTCAGGGCATGCTGGCACGCACGTGCGAAATGCTCGCCTTCCACACTCTTGCTCCAACAGGAGCGGTCGGACAAAATCCTAAAGTTTACTGCCCGACATCTGGCCCGAATCGAAACATCTTGCTGCTCTGGAGTTCATGAACATGCTCTTGGCGGGCACGAAACGCTTGGCTTTTTCCCACAAGGAAAGTAGCCTGTCATTCGGGGATGTTCGAGGAATATAGGGCCCCGGCTCATCCTCCATATCTCTCAGGTGAGACTCCGGAGTGACCTGACAAATCTGCGTACATCTGAGTTAGCTGCCAGGTTCGACAAGCAATCGGTCCGACAACTGTGGAACCACAAGAGGATGCCAGAACTATCTGGGGACATGGCATCGGTCGGCAAGTCCAAGCTCTTGGAGATGTTTTGCAGGAGCCGCTCAATGCTCTGGCAAGGACAGGCACCATGTGAGCTCTCTCTTACAAGAGTACCTACGAGCTGCCAGCCAACCTACCTACATGCATACATGCATGCATGCATACACAAGTACATACATGCATTCAGTACATACACGACATACACTACGTACGTTAAAGATGGTACATATATGATAACGCGCTCCCTGTGCCCCACCCCCTGCTCCCCCCTATGGTCCAGGATGCCCCCCCCCCCCCCCCC